TCTGATTTCATTTTTCCCAGATCCTCTTTTGTTGCCAGTTCAGGGAGTCCAGGTGGTTGAGTATCAGAGTGTTCCATCTGGTTTCCCTTTGGGGTTGCTGTAGGTGATCTGGAAGTCTGTTTTTGAGGCTTGTTTACATGTCTTCTCATTTCCATGGGGGGAGGGGGAGGTGCTGCTGGTGCCGTCTGGCTCACCTCCTCTGCCCCAGGAGTGGTGGAATGGTGGCAGGGAGTCTCCTCCTGGGCTCTGGGTGAATAGTATAATTATAAAAAGCATTGTGCCAAATACTGCTGGTATAAATGAAAATTAAAAAATCAAACCCCTAGGTGTTTGCAATCTAGAGGGAGTATCAGATTTACCTATTTCTGTCTGTCTTTCTGTTAAATCTGTCTATACACACAAAATAGTAGGGACTATCAGACTATTATAGGTTAAGTCTGTAAGAAGAGAGAAGGGAGAAAATCTTGGAGAAACCATGGACATTTCTTGGATAAGGTAGGATTTGAGCTATGCTTTGAATGAATATATAGGGTCTAGTGCCTAAAATCCTACCTTATATGCAATATTTAGTAAATAATTGTTGAATGGGTTAATGAATTGATAAAATAGTGGAATTTTTTATAGGTGGATATGGGAATCAGGCAGGGTACATGGTAAGCAGAGTAAAGGAAATATCTTTGAACAAAAATGTGGCACAGAATGTATTATCTGTTAGATGTTGTGTTAGTCATCTTTTTGTCACTGTGGCAAAAAACTTGAGGTAACCACTTACAGGAAGGAAAAATTGATTTTTGGGTCACAGTTGTAGAGGTTTCAGTCCATAGTCAGTTGGCCCATTGCTTTTGGATCTCTGGTGTGCACATCATAATGGCATATATCATCATGTGGCAGAGGAAGCCCTCACCTTATGGAAGCAAGAAGGCAAAGAGAGAGAGGAAGGGGCTGGGGTTCCAGTGTCCCTTCATGGGCACACCCCCAGTGACCAAAGGTACTCCCACTAGGTCCTGCCTCTTAAAGGTTTAGCTACCTCTCAGTAGCCCCCTGTTAGTTACTTTTCTCTCATTGCTGAAACAAAATGCCCGACACCCAAAGTTGGAGGGGAAGGGGTTTATTTGGCGTACAGTTTGTAGAAGTTTTAGTCCATAATCGGCCAACTCCAAGGCAGAGATAACAAACAGGCATGGCAGAGCAGAATAAACATGGCACACACAAGGTAGCAAAGGCAACAAGGGAAAACTTTAACAGCACCTCCCTGCCCCTTTTATCTTATTTAGACTAGTAAGACAAGATGGGTAGCACTCACACCCTTAATCATAGTGCCCTTGAGACTAGCATTGCATCATGAATCAATTCCAGCTTCACACACTCTAAATCAAACCTATGATACATGAGGCTTTGGGGGGACATCTAGATCCAAACCATAACACCCACAACATTTAACACAGGGTTTTGGGGGACACATTCAAACTGTAGCAGGTATATAACAAGCATTTCAGTTTGATCTATACTAAAAGGTATGTATAGGAGAATTAAAACTGTAAGCTGGTCTAAGCCCACTAGGAAGTTTACTATTATTTGTGAGCCACTGAAGGATTTTGAATGGAGTTGTATGATGAAAACAATTTGGAATTAATGTGGTAGGAATGTGCAAAATATGTTAGAAAGGAAGCCTAGAGGCAGTGAGGGCTATTAAAACATAATTGTCCTCAACCAGACATAAGTTGATTAGAATCTTGATCACAAGAGTGACAAAAAAAGTAAATGATGAATTTGAGAAATTTTTATAAGGAAGATTCAGTAAGACTTGATAGTTGTCTTTATATAATGAGTAAAAACCATTATGGTTTGGATTTTGGTATTGCAAGAATGGTAGAAAAAATAGGGAATCATAAGAAAAGTTTAATTTTATGAGGGTGTGGAATAGTAGAGTTTGATGTGTGTTTCTTATATCTCTCCTCTCTTGGATTATTGGAATACACTCTTCTTTGCGGAAAAGAATTAACATAGTAGTTCTAAACTGCTACCCTTGAAAAGGACTTTTGGCAAGGTTGGCCTTTGACTGAAGTCTGAAAACTTAGATTGCAACAAGGTTCCCACCATAACTGATAGAGTAGCTCCCTGTACATACACTGGATATACAAATAATATGGTTTAAGTTGAACACCTGTTTTTCTTTTGAGATTCTGATATTTATGTGTCAGAAATCTTTTCAGTATTGGTACCCAATTAAAAGGTCGGGATATTGAGTCTCTAGTGAGCTTCTCTCACTAGTAACACTTCACATACAGTATGTTGTCATAGCTGATTACTTAGAGCAGTGGTGACGAACATATGGCATGTGTGCTGCAGTGAGGTGTTTGTGTCACTCAAAGCTCTAAAAGGTTCACTGTCACTGATGTAGAGCATTAAATGTGTCCGGTGTGACTCCACAAGACAGAGCCTTTGGAAATTTGTGCTTGGTTTCCCTTGGACTCTGCCCATAGGAAGGAGTAGGACTAAGTCTTATAAGTCATGCTAGGGATTTGTTGAACTAGGTGTAACCTAAGTGACCCTCCAACATAATCCTAAATTTCAAGTGATCTGGCCTATTGTCCAACAGTCTGTCTGGTTTTTTATTTGGAAAATATGGTCATAGGAGCTATGTGCTAGGAACTATGAGAAGCAGAAAAGTGAAAGACTGAATATATGTCTCATTCCAGAGAGCTTAACATTCCTAAGTGAAGAGAAAAGAAATAAATCATAAAATCTTTGGGACTTGGAATAGGCAGATTACATGGTGCTCTTCTCATCTGTATTTCCTGTTGCCCAACATTTATCTTTTTGCCCTAATGAAGGACAAGTCAACTTTGATGGGAAAGCAAATAAAGCAGTGTCAGTTAACAGTATCACAGCTGAAAGATAAGGAGGGGTAAGGATGCCAAAAGTGTGGCACAAATCACATTAGTTATTGTAGGTTTATAAAAAGATTGTAGATCTCACCTTGTTTCTTAGATTTTCTGTAGTTTGTAGACAGCTTTGGACCAAGAATTGGGTTAGAACATTAATTTGTAATAATGTTCTAGAATAACAGTGACAATCTTGTATACACATTGATGATACATGATTAAGGATGAATTAGGTTGTAAGTAATTTGTTATGTGTGATTGTTAAAATACTAAAGTTTGAAAGTGATTTACTTCTTTTTTAAAAAATTGGAGTAGGTTATAATTTCCTGTCAAAAGCATTTTATTTTATTTTTTAAAATTTTTTTATTGTTTTGGAACCAGGGATTGAACTTGGCTCCTTGCGCTTGTGCAGCAGGCGGCAAAACCACTGAGCTAAATCCCCGGCCTCAAGCATTTTAACTGAATAAAATGAGGAGTTGTAGCCATTTTTTAAGTAGCACATCTCACACAGCAGTATCATTCATCTTGTGATACACAAGGGAAAAAGTGTTAATACTCCTGTTGTATAGTAGGGCTAAATCAAAGTGATGACAGAAAGTTTACAGAATGTTTATCTAAGGTTCTGTAATTGAGTAATGCTTAATAAATATATAGTGTATGATGTTATATCTTAAATAACATATATTCACATTTTTATATTTTGTATAGCTTTCCAGATGATAAAAAATTGTTGGATTGGTTTCTCCCCCCTGCTCCATTGATTTCAGAAATTCCAGATACTCAGAACTTAGAGGAAGAAATAGAAAGTCATAAACTGTTAGGTAAATTATTATGTGTTTATTGTGAAACCAAATTCATGCGGTTCATGTCAACATAACACATTACAGTATTAATTCCTTTATTTTAATGGAATAAAATGAAAGAGGTTTCTCATTCAAAATAGTGCTTATGAAATCTTAAGATCTAAAATATCTCCATACACACGTTCATATATGTATAGATAGTACATAATACGCTATCATACAATTGTTTTTTTGTTCTGTGAATATTTTTCCCCTTACCATTAAAATTCCTGTCACTGATGTTCAGTTTTTCTTTGCTTTTTACTAAGGGAAAGATCCTCTGGGAGCCAGATCTCTAAAGTATATTGAGTGAAAAAAGCAATAGGCAGAAGATTATATATAGTTTGAGGTCATTTTTATAAAAATCAAAAAACAATCATGCTCAGGCTGGGAATATAGCTCAGGGGTAGAACATGTGGTCAATATGTGTGGGGCCCTAAGTTCAACCCCCAGAACCAAGAAAAACATATTCAAACATATTCAAACAATGTGTGTTATGTAATGTAATATTTCTGATAAATTTTTATTTTTTAAATTGAGTGGTAGATTCATGCATATAAATTTGATTATTGAGCTTCACAATTTACATATATGCTTTGTATATAAAAATAACGTGTACTCTTGGATGTGTTAAATAGTATTTAGCATGAGTAATATAATGTATATGTATAAATAGATAGTATAGCAAATTTAAGTGCTAAGTTTACTAAACTCTGCCTAAACCTTCCGTAGATTCTTGAAAAGTCTCTGTAAAGAAACCTTCAAAATTCCATCACACTAATATAAATACTGTATCATATTAAGTAGCGTTTTATGATTGGTTGTTGTATTTCTGCATGTAAATTATGTAAAATTTAAAAACTTAATTGCTTATATAATAATATCACTTGTAGTAGCTAAAGTAGTTATTTTTTGTTTTTGTTTTTGTTTTTTTTTTTGGTACCAGGGATCGAACTTGGGACCTTGTGCTTGCGAGGCAGGCAGTAGAACCACTGAGCTAAATCCCCGGCCCTAAAGTAGTTAAATATTACACTTACAGGTTTCCTTTTTCTTTTTTGACTTCCTTATAATTATTTATGTGGGTTGGGTGTTAAACTTATTTTATAATGTAGGTTCTATATACATTCTGAATTTAGTTTTAATAATTCTTAATTGATTTCTGAGCTCCCTTCAGAAAAAAAAATATGTATTTTAAAACCACATATAGTATTATAAATTATCTTGTTACTATAATGGTATTTTCTCTTGCCTTTCATATACAACTAATAAACTGTTTTGAAAGTTTTTATTAAATCTTTCCACTGTAGTTTTGAAAATTTGTTTTCAGGAAGAACATGTAATAACTAATGTGTTCTATTTTTACAGGTCAGGCAAAGAAGCCAACATTGTTAACATCAAATTTAAAGATTACCAATGGAGACACAAATTATATTTTGCCAACACAAAAATTCAAATTTACCTCTAATAAATATGAACAAGATTATCTAAATTTAGGACAAATAGATAAGACTGACTTATCACATGTTTCTGAAAAGCTGACATATGGGTCTTATCAGATACATAAAAATCACATGGGCAGTGAGATAGTACCTGAAATAAATGTTCCTGATGATACAAAATTAGTTAATATTATAGAAGATAAAGGAGAAAGCACATCGGCATTCCGAAAAAGGTAATTAGTTAAATGAAATAGTATTGAGTGAATAAATTTGAATATATGTACATACTTTAAAAGTATTAAATATGACAGGATCTGAATGACAAAAACAGTAACAAAAAGTAAAATTTATTATATGCTAGACATTCTGTTAGGTCTAGGATTCTAGTCATAGATTCTTGCTTTCAGAGGGGTAAATAGTAAATAACTAAAACTAGTTGACTAAATACTTTATAGTATGCAATTATTTTGATGAAGTATATGATTAGAGCTGTTCTCAAATTTTTTTCATCAATATCCCTTTACACTTAAAAATTATTGAATATTCTCAAAGAGATTTCGTTTAGGTTGGTTATATCTCAATATTTAACCATATTAGAAATTAAAACAAAAATTAAAAAAATTTATTTGCTAATTCATCTTAAAATTGTACTAAACACATTACTGGTTAACTCATTGTTTTTATTTTAAAAACTTCATTTATCAGCAGGTGAGTGGATTAAAAGTAGTGTGACATATATGTACAGACTCCAGTTTAGGACAGTTTGACTATTGAGTTTTTTACTTGATGGTAGTATAAAAGCAATATGTATTCAGTGGTAACTGTACTTGAATTTTTTAGTTTTGTTCTTTTCTCATGCTAGTGTTATATACTAACATAATTTCTCGGGCTGGACAGTATACTCACTGCAGCTCCTTGTCAACCATGCAGTCACAAGAGTAAATAACCAATACTCTATAGTACATGATGATTTTCACTGGGTTAGGTGTGTTAAATACATTTTTGACGTATGGTAGTTTCAACTTACATTGAGTTTACCAGGATATAACCTCAGTGTGAGTCAAACAGCATCTGTTATGCAATAAAATACTATTCATCTGTAAAAAAAGCATAAAATTCTGTCATTTGTAATAACATGGATAAATTTAGATCTTATGTTAAGTGAATTAAACCAGGCACAGAGACAAATTACATGATCTCACTTATATGTGGAATCTAAAAAAGTTAAATTCATGGAGGTAGAAAGTACAATTGCAGTTATCAGAGGCTGGGGGAAAAGGTAAAAGGAGAAATGAGAGATATCTGTTAATAATATAGTTACAGTTAGGAGGAATATGTTCTGGTATTCTATTGTACAAGAGAACTGATTAATATATATTTCAAAATAACTAGAAAAGATTTAGAATGGTTTCATCGCAAATAATAAGTGATTGAGGTAACATATATTACACTGATTTGTTCATTACAAATTGTATACTTGTATCAGAACATCACACATTGTAACCTGTCCTATGGATAATTATTTGTCAAACAAAAATAAAACTTAAAAACTTATTTTTGAAAACAATTTAGTGAGACAAATGGCTTTTTTAAAAATGTATTTTGATGTATTCACCAACTCAGAAATAAGTTGAAATAATGTTATTTCTGGATAACATTGTTTAGGGGTTTTTTTTTCAAATAAAGGTTCCGTTATGTAGTTATAATTGATAAAATCATTGGTTATTTATAAACAAACTAAATTTCTAGTGCCTCTCTCCTCCTGAAAATTAAAGAGGAAGCAATAGGGGCCAGAAGTTCCAACACCAGCAACACAGTTAGTTCCCCTTGTTACTAGTCCTCATCCTGAAGCTATCTCCGGGCCCTTCAAGGGTCATCTCATTAGTACCCTGTAAACTCAGGTCTGCTTGAAGGATCTTGCATGAATAACAAAAGATAATTTTGTCATTCCAATTACTCAGGAATTTTAAATATGTTAGGAGCTCTGACCAGCAACAAGGGACAGAGAAAAATATGTTATTTCTTATAATACCATGTATGTTAGTTTTTTGTTATTGTGATAAGATGCCTGAGAAAAACAGTTTTAAAAGATGAAAGATTTATTTTGGCCCACAATTTTGGTGATTTCAGTCTATGGCTAGTTAGCTTTATTGTTTTTGGTCCTGTGGTGAGACAGCCCATCATGGTGGGAGAGTGTGTTGAAGAAACTGTCCACACCTGGCCAAGACATGGAAGGGCGTGGGGATGGGGGTCCCACTGTCACCTTCAAGGGCAAACCTCCAACAACCAGAAGACCTTTCATTAGGCTCCACCTCTTAACATTTCTGTCACCTCCAAATAGCACCAACCTGGGGACTGAGCTTTTTTGTTTTTTTAAGTATCAGGGATCGAACATGTGCTTGCCGGGCAGGCGCTATGATGCTGAGCTACATCCCCAGCCCTTTCTGAACTTTTAACACATAGGCCTTTGGAGGACATTCCAGATCCAAACCTACGTAAGGGTTTATTTTTGAGCTCTTAAATGTGCCAACCTTTATGCCAGTCCCACACTGGAGGTTTAGAAATGTGTGAAATTAGGAAGTGCGAGTCCTTCAAATTTGTGATTTTTTTCAATGTTATTTTGATTATAATATATATAGTGTAAGTAATAAATGTCTCCTTGTTTCCAGACTGTACATAATTTGTAATTATTTTATAATATGGTTATTGAGTCATATTTGGGATGATTTGATCTGCTAAAATACTTAAGCTCATTTCTTTTTTGGGGGAAAGAAGGATCAGGGCATACAAACCTGACCAAGAAATTTGCCAAGAAAACTATATATTATTTGGTACCTTCCATGGGGCCAAATGCTATTGCTGACAACTTTTCATTCGTTCTTTTAATTCATTTGTTGATTTTTTTCCTATAAATTTAATATAAGTATGTTTATATTTTTATAACAAATCATTTTGGTTAATTTTAACTACTATTAAGTTACTTTTACTGTGAGTATATTTGTGGCTTTTTCCCTTTCTGTTTAGCACTTTACTAACCCAGTCACTAGTCATTAGTTATCTATTGTTGTATAGAAATTATTCCAAAACTTAGTGGCTTAAAACAACAAGAAACATTTTTATTTGAAGGATGCAATTTATTTCTAATAGTTTCTATGAGTTAAGAACTTAGGAACAACTTAAATGAGAATTTTGGCCTATGCTTTCATGAGAATGCATAAGATACTGACAGCCTCTCAGGGCTACACTCAAAGTTATTATGCAGTCTAGTCATCTTGCCAGGGACTGTAGGATCCATTTTATTTTTTTCTTTTTCATTAGTGTATTTTTACAATATAGATATCCATTAAGGGGAATTGGCTCATGCATGTAGCATATCTTGATCTATTTTCAAGGTGACTCACTCACCTTGACTATAAAGTTGGTGATGGTTGTTGACAGGAGGCCTCAGTACCTTTCCACATGGGCTTCTCTGTAGGGCTGCTCGAGTTCATTCTTATGATACAGTGATTAGATACGCAGAGTGAACCATCTAAGAAACCTTGAAGAAGGAGTGATGTATTTTATGACCTACCCTTAGAATTCACATACTTTTGCACTTCCAAAATACTCTATTAGTTACATAGTCTAGTTCTGACTTAATAATTCAGCATGTAGGAGACTACAAAAGAGTATGAAGGATCCTCTGGGCTATTTTGGAGACTGGCTATCACCAAAGAATTTATCTGAATTTTAGTGGAAAGATACAAATCAGTGATAGGAATTAGCAAGTAATATTTTAGGAGAATGATTAGTTTTTTTTGTTTTAATAAGCTATAATCTGTGTATATTTTAAAGGGAGTAATTTTATGCTAGTTTTTCACATTAAACAACTATTAAAAGTGGAAAACGTGGTGGGGTTTTTTTGTTTTGTTTTCAGGTTATTTAAAATATGTGACAATATACATGAAAGTGCTTATTCTAATGACAGTGCAAACATGGATTCTCACATTGGCTCAGTGAAAATTTTCCAAACAGGAATGAACAAAGGGGAACCGTGGAACTATAGCAATAATAACCAGAAACCTCAGTATTGTTCAAACATGTTTAAAGCTAATGATGCTTTTCCTGGTTCTGAAATTGGAGGAGATACGTTCAAAGTGCCATCTTTTTCAGTTGGATCCCAGCTTTATGATAGCCAAGGTAATTCCTTGCTTTTTCACTTGATTTTATAAAAATATAAACTAATGTGTGGTTCTTAGCATAGATGAAGAATACAAAAATATAGTTAATTTGAGTAGGTTATCTCTCTGTATAGTTTCTGCATTCTATTATGTTGCATTATTTTAAAGCTGTTTTTGAGTAACTCTCAGTAATAAAAAATTTTTCAACTTTTATTGAGGCAGTTTTTAATTTAAAAGTTTTTTAAAAATTCATATATGTATGTAGTTGTTTTTTTTTTTTCAGGGATAACCAAAACTGGCTTAGGTTCCTTGAAGGCTGTCACAGAAATACGTATCCTTTAAATTATTTTACAATGTTTTTTATTAAGTTGATCATAATTTAATGATATTAGCAAAAAAAATTTTTTTAAGAATTTACATCTTTTTATAATTTTTAAATTTTATTATTAAATGCTTGCAATTCATGCAGTTTATGATCATCTTAAGGAGTGGTTATATGTGCATATTGCAGCTTGTTTCTCTTCTTTTTAAAATCCTTTTCCCTTCCCCCCTCCCCCCTCCTTCGGTTTCTCTATCCTCTTTTTTGTACTTATTGATATTATTTGTCTTACCTCATGTTAATGTTTCCATTAATTAGGGTTATTAGGTTCCTGTACATGGCACATCTTTATTCCTGTCATTTCCCTTTCCCCTTTTCCTCAACCCTCACCCTTGTTCCCTTGGACCACTTCCCTATTGCAAGAGGTCTGTTGCCTTGTCCCTTTCTATCCATCCTTTATCATTTTCTTTGTTTGTACTTTGCTTTATTCAAATGAGAGATATCATACAGTATTTAAGCTTCTGTTTCTGATTTATTTCACTTAACATTATATTTTCGAGGTGCATCAGTTTTCCTACAAATGTCTCAAATGTGTCATTCTTTATAGCTGAGCACTATTCCATTATATATAGATGCCACATTTTCTTTATACAATCATCTGTTGATGAGTATATAGGCTGATTTCAAGATTTAGCTGTTACAAATTGTGCTGCTATAAACATTTGTATCCATGTATTGCTGTAGTATGATGACTTAAGCTCCTTGGGGAAGATACCTAGCAAAGGGGATGTCTGGGTCACGCAGAATCTCCTAATTTCAGTTCTTTGAGAAATCTCCATACTGATTTCCATAATGGTTTTATTAGTTTGCATTCCCACCGACAATGCAGGAGGGTTCCTTTTAACCACAGTCCTGCCAGCACTTATTTGATTTCCTAATGATTGTCACTCTTTCCAGACTAAGGTGAAATTTTCATGTTGTTTTAATTTGCACTTTTCTAATGGCCAGAGATGTTGAACACTTTTTTCATGTATTTGTCAACCATTTGTATTCCTTCTGTTAAGTGTTTGTTCATTTCTCTCACCCATTCTTGACTAGATCTTTAATTTTAGGTAGTTTAGTATTTTTGAGTTTTTGTATAATCTAGGTATTAGTCTTTGATTTTACAATGTTTTATATTTATGTTTACGAAATCATATTCTTAAAATACTTTATTTCATTTTATTCCTTTGAATTTATTTTGTTTGATAGAGAAAAGTGAATCTTTTGAGTCATATAAGAGATTTGTGCATATAATAGTTCTCAAGTGTGGTCTACAGACTGGTGGCAGTTTGTGAACTGTTTATCACCAGTATGTGACAAGATAATAGAGATATTTGATTGGTATTAGGGGAGACCACTAGCCATATTTAATTACAGACGGAATACAGGTAATTTCTTGTGTTTTGAGTAAGAAGAGCTATATTGAACAGATTCATATCATGTCTTAATGTTTTGGGTATGATCAGCCATCTAGAGTTAAAATGAGTAAGGGGAATGAAAGGAAATGGGATATTTTGTAAATTAGGGACATTTTTTACAAGTCTAGTTTTTTTTATTCATTAAGTTTATTGGTACATTTTAGGTATACAATATGATGACATTCATCATGGGGAATTTGTACCTTTACATGATATGTTTTGGTTCTTATTTTTCCCTATTCCCCTGCCTTCCCTTTAACCACTCCATCCCTCCCTATTTACAAAGACTTTGTTTCTGTTTTTTCCTTTCCCTTCTTTCCTTTCCTCTATACCCCTCCTCACTTCCCTTCTCCTTTGGACCTTTTCTTCCTATTTCACATTATCTATTATACATTTGGATCATCATTTACACTTTCACCCCAGAGAAACTATTTGGTATTTACACCTGTGTCCTATTTATTTCACTTAAGAGTATGGCCTGTTGGTGGGAGTGTAGACTGCTGCAACCAGTGTGGAAATCAGTGTGGAGATGCCTCAAAAAACTAGGATTAGAGTTTCCATTTGACCCAGCTATTCCCCTGCTGAGTATCTTCCCAAAAGAATTAAAAGAATCATACCACAGCAATATATATGCACCCATGTTTATAGCAACACAGTTTATAATAGCTAAAGCTTGGAAACAGCCCAATTGCCCATCAACTGGTGACTGCATAAAGATGTGTTTTGTTTTGTTTTTTATAAAATGGAGTACTGCTTAGCCATAAAGAATGAGAAACTAGAGACATTTATAGCTAAATGGATGCACAAGTCTAATTTTTGAAATAACCTAAGTTTAGTTTGCATGTCTGGGCACTTACTAGTGTAAATGTTTCAAATGTATCTGCATATTCTGGCAGTGACATCTTCTTTGCATATTTAATATCCTGTGCATGCCTATCGTAGTACACTTTATTTTATTTTATTTTTTGGTACCCGGGATCAAACTCGGGACCTTGCGCTTGTGAGGCAGGCGATGGCACCACTGAGCTAAATCCCCGGTCCTACACTTTATTTTATTATCATTCACTAGCTGCTTGTGTGACTGTTTTCTCATGACCTAAGAACTCTTTGAAGGTAAGGGCTGTGTTTTATCTATTTCCCAATACATTGAAAGTTAGGAAGGTTAAGAAGTTCATAAAGTTAGGAAGTTGTTCTAGTAAAGGAACAACAATGAGCAAGGATAAGATTAAAAAATGTGGAATATATTTGGAAAGAACAAAGTTTGAAGTTTGGCTGAAATCAAAGATGTGATAAAAGGAGTACTAGGTCTAGATCTTGAATAAGTACCTTAGGATAATATCATTTAATGCTGTGAATAGAAAGGTCAAGTTTTTTAAAAAATAATTTCCCCTGGCTTTATTAATGTATAATAGACAGATAAAAATTGTACATTTTTAGAGTCTGCAATATGATGTTTAATTATTGTATATATTGTGAAAATGAGTACCCAAGCTAATTAATATATATTAGTATTATATATGGTGAGAAAGTGGAGGAAAAGGAACCCTTATACACTGTTAGTAGGAATATAAATTGTTATAACCACTATAGAAAACAGTATGGAAGTTCCTCAAAAAAACTAAAAATAGAACTATCATATGAACCAGTAATCTCACTTTTTTTTTTTTTTTTTTTTACTGAGGATCGAACTTGGGTCCTTGCGCTTGCAGGACAGGCGGCAGAACCACTGAGCTAAATCCCTGGCCCCTCTCACACTTGATATATATATCCAAAGGAAATAAAGTCAGCATACAAAAGAGAAACCTGCATGCCCATGTTTATTGTACTACTCACAATAGCTAAGATATGGAATCAGTCTAGGTACCTATCAACAGATGAATGGATAAAGAAAATATGATTTATATACATGGTGGAATATCATTCAACTATAAAGAAGAATAAATTCCTGTCATTTACAGGAAAATAGATGGAACTAGAGGACAATGTTGTAAGCAAAATAAGCTAGACCCAGAAAGACAAATATTACAAGTTTTCTCTTATATGCAGAAGAAAAGACAACCAGAAAGTAGAAGAGGTAGGAATAGGGATGGGGAAGGGTGCTGGAAAAAAAGGAGTAGAAGGAAAGGATAGAAGAAGGATAGCTGGACATAATGCATAATGTGTGAATGTATAGAAATGCCACAGTGACTCTCATAATGTGTGAGATGAATATGTGTTAATAATTATATTTTTAAAAGATGAGTCGGGGATTTAGCTTGGTGGTTCTGCCGCCTTCCTTGAAAGCGCAAGGACCTGAGTTCGATCCCTGCTACCAAAAAAAAAAAAAAGATCTGCTGTCTTAGCATTTTTTTATTGAATTTTTTGAGACAAGGTCACACTATGTTGCCCAGGCTGGTCTTGAGTCTCTGGTATCAAGTGATCCTCCTGCCTCAATCTCCCAAGTAGCTAGGGCTATAGGTACATGGCACTACCTCTGGTTTTGTTTTTGTTTTTGTTTTTTTTTATTAGAAATACATGTTTGTAGTACATTATGATTACAGTCCTCATGAGGAGTTGGTACATGTACATAACATATCTTAATTATTTTCTTATTCCCTTCCTGCCCCTCCTTCACCCTCTCTCCATCTCTGTTCCCCTTTCCTTTTGTAAAGGATTGATCTCCCTGTTTCTTAATATCTATCTTTTATTTTGCTCTGTATTTATAATTTGTGTTTCTCAAAAAAGATAAACCATCAATATTTAAACTTGTGTGTCTTATTTCACTTAACATTATGGTCTCACGGTACATCCATTTTCCTACAAATGTCTCGAGTTTATCTTTTTATTTTTGGTACTGGGGATTGAACTCAGGACCTTGCACTTTTGAGGCAGGCGGCAGAACCACTGAGCTAAATCTCGAGCCCTTGATCCCATTTTCTCTCTCTCTCTTCTCTCTCCTCTCCTCTGTCTATCCCCTTTTGATACTGGGGATCGAACTCATGATCTTGTGCTTGCCAGGCAGGCATGGTGCCACTGAGCTACATCCCCAGCCTTCTTGATGTTATTTCTCATGCAATTGGGGTTCTGTTCAGAAAGTCCTTACATATGCCTATATCTTCAACAGTTTTATCTATTTTATCTTTCAGCAGATTGCTTCTGTATTAACATTTTGATATTTGATCCATCTTGGGGTCTGTTCAGAAAGTCCTTACATATGCCTATATCTTCAACAGTTTTATCTATTTTATCTTACAGCAGATTGCTTCTGTATTAACATTTTGATATTTGATCCATTTTGATTTTAGTTTAGTACATGGTGAGATATATGGGTCTAAATTTAGTCTTCTGTATGTAGATAGCCAGTTTTTGCAGTACAATTTATTAAAGAGGCTATCTTTCCTCCATTGTAGGTTTATGGTCCCTTTGTTAAAGATCAAATAGCTGAATGTGCCTGGGGTTGTTTCCACATCCTGTATTCTATTTCATTAATCCACACGTCTGATTTTTTGCTAGTACCATGTGATATTTTTTAGCAGTCAAGTTAGCTCATTAAAACTATGCTTTAATTCTATGGAATTAGAGACTGGTTGGTTCATTGGCAAAACAGAAAGTAAATTCTAGATATTGAGCAATCAAGCTAGGAAAATCTAGGCTAGAGTAACTCTAATCCTAGGTATTTTGGTGATCATTTGAGATAATTCTTTTTAAAAAAATGGTAGCAAAGTTTTAGTATAGGTAGGAAGAGAAACAGGCTCTGCAGAGTGAGTTTGGGGCAAGTGAACGTAGCAAAAGAAGTATACCTTATAGTATGAGGGCAGGCCAACCATGTGAGAGAACACGTGGTGATAATGTGAGAGAGCCCATTTGAGATAATTCTAAAGTACTGTTGGTTATAACATACTTGCCTAATTACTTCTGAAAAGTGCGTTCAATTCAGATACCTGAATTTAATTACACTGGGAGGAGACAATAGAGGTTATAAAGGATGATCCAAGATCTCCAGACATAGCCAGTCTTTGATGATTTTGTTTAAAATGCTTCTGTCTCAGCCCTGCTACACTTCCTTCTCTGGTGATCTAAATAGGATGGAAACAGGAACTATATTAGCAGTAAGCAGTTAATGATTGTTTATCTGTATGATGGTGAATTCTTTTTATCTTTCACCAGAAGGCTTTTTGTATTATGGCACACTACCTTTTGAAAAGTTTTAAAGATTTTCATGCTTTATGAGTAGAGCTGAAGTGGTTCTATTTGTTGTTTAGACGTCTTTGTTAGGCAAGACCACTGTCTATACTAATGCCCACTATTTATTGTTCCAAAATTTTATTTGCTATCAGACTCATTGAACTGCTATGGTTTATTGTGTACAGCAAAAGACTGAAAGCTAGTCATGATAATTTAAGAGTTTGTAGGTTACTTAAATACAATATATTTGCTGATTCTGTTTTACTATTTTCCTATGTTTGAATCCTCACAACAATAGAAGTTTTGTCAGATTGATACTGCCACAGTACTCTTGTCATTTTCAGTTCTGCAAACATTTTTTCCCATTATAGCATGTAATTACAGTGACACTGCTGAGAGTTTGTTGAACGAAAGGAAAGATTTGATTTCAAGTGTTGATAGTGATGATAAATGATGTTTGTAGTTGAATTTTATTATGAGCTAGAAAACTGATTCTGCAGCTACTCTGAATCAGATTAATTTTTGTGAATATAAACTGATGTAGAACTATCTAATGAGAGAAAAACCAGCGTGATAGCCCACTTCTGGGCTTGTTACAAATAAATATTTTATAGGAAAAGACATATCTTGAAGGAAAAATGAGATTCCCTCAAAGACTGGTGGATTACAAACTCAAAGTTTCATTTTTATGTTAGCACAAATATTCTGACATGCTACACAACTGAAAGTAATATGAAGAATTATAAATTAACTGCTTGATTTATTAAGTGTAAACATATTCTGAGTGCTTAGTACAGTGTATGTGCTAGGAATTGTTCTGGGTATTTAGAATATGTCAGTTAAGAAAACAGTGACTCCTTACCTTTGAGGAGTTAACTTTCTTGAGATGATGATAGGGAACAGGATAGATCTGTAGCAGTATATAAATAAGTCATATAGTATTTTATTTTTGTTGTGTGCTTTTTTTTTTGACAGATTCTCATTATGTAGCTCACAGGCTGGCTTCAAATGACAATCCTCCTGTCTCAGCCTCCCAAGTGTTGGGATTACATGCCTGGCTATTATATAGTATGTTAGAAGGTGATGAACATTATAGGAAAAGAAAAAAAATGTAGAGCAAAGTAAGAGACTACTGGAATTAAAAGTTCAGGATATAGAATTAAATATAATAATTAGGGTAGGTTTTTATAAGATCAAACAATTAAAAAAGGTGAAAGCGCCAAGGAAATTTGCAAGGAAGACGGAATAATCTAAGCAGAAGGAAGATTTCATGGCAGACAGATGGCTGATGTTTTTAAAGAATAGCAGAGTCCAGTATAGCTAGAGGAGACAAGTTGGGGGGAAGAACAGTAGGACGTGAAGTCAGAAATATAAAGATAGGGTGGGGTGGGTAGTGGCCATGGGGAGACAAGATCATTTAGAGACTTGTATCTGCGTACTTTTGAGAGAAAGAGAAAGTTGAGCAGAGAAGCTATATAATTTGATTTAAATTTTTAAAGGATCACTGCAAACAATCCATGAGTTTTTAATATCTTCATAAAAATATACTGCTTAAATAACTGTTTTCAGATATATTATTGTCTTTCTTATATCTTTTAATAGATTATAAAGCCTAAATTGTAGGAACTCATTTTTTCCTTTTTTTACAGCTTTCTAAATCTAGTAAAGCATTTTACATATACAATAATATTAAATAAATATAGTTGACTGATTATGACTCAGAGTAAGAAGAATGCCATAAAATCTCTCTCAAGCTGGCAATAGACTCTTACCTTGGAGAGAGAACACTTTATCTTTATAGCTGTTAATATGTTTTAACTTTTTTTGTAGTAGTTTAAAATTCTTCCTCTTGAGCAAATATGCTGATAATTACAATTAAAGCCAACATCCAACAAACAAAATTATCAAAAACAAGGGGCTTCAGGGTTACATGACTAGAAATACACATCAGTTAATGAAGTACAATTATAATCATTAGTTCAGTTAAATCTGAAACCTTAAAGAAGAGATATAAATCAAGTGGCTTAGTCAAGGTAAATGGGAAAAAGCAGTACTTTGGAAAAGATAAACTAGAAGCATAGTTCTGATAGACTTGCCTCTATACTTGGATGTCTTCCAACATACTTAACTTTCAAATTATAACCCTTATGTAATCTGTTTCTGCATAGGTACTTTGCAAGTTTTCTCAGAATATGGAATATGAGTGAGACTGCAATAATTTTTGTTAATTCCCTTTTTAAGACATCAAAATAGCAAATGTTAAAGGCCCATTATTAAATGTTAAAGCCTTATCAGAGTCAATAATTTAACTGAATTTTTCAATTAAAAATAACCAATTTTTAAAATTTTCAAGTATTTGACTCCTTAATATTATTCTAAGCGGCAAAATTTAGAAGTATTTTCAAAGAATTTCCATATTTCAACTATATACAGTCTAAAGCCTTTGATGATGTAAGGATCTTACCATAAATAGTACTTATCTTTCTCTTCTCACTAGGCTGTGTGTTCTCTAAGGAGAGGGACTAGATAATATCATTATATCTCCAGGGCCACACTCAGTGACATTACAGGAGCTCAGAAAATGTTTTTTAAATTAATACATGAGATTTTCATAGGTGGGCTGGTTTATATTTATTAGATTTGTAAGACTTTCTCTAGAAGATAAAGGAATGATTTTATTCTAGGTCTAGGATATCTTTGATAAATAATACAGCATGATAAACTATTAATAGTGTTTTCTAAGGGTAGAGGGTCTGGACAATGTTACAATTTTAATAATTGCAGAAGTAATAAATGTTTGAACTATCATTCCTCTGAGTCTTCCCAAGGCATGTTTTCTAGCAAGTTGAGAATGTGTGTGAAAAATTCTATATTTTATATAATCAATTCAATTTTATGTTTTAGCTTCTTTACACAGATAGGAATTTTGTGATTTGTGCTCCAACTGGTTCTGGGAAAACTGTAGTGTTTGAACTAGCTATAACAAGATTGTTAATGGAAGTACCATTGCCATGGTTGAATATTAAAATTGTTTACAGTAAGTATATATTGTAAAAATAATGATTAAGTGTAATAAAAATGACTGTAAAAAGGAAGAAATTCAGTTCAGGTGATAGGCATTATTGTTTTTCATACATTTTGAGATAAATTAATTTTATTTTATTAATTTATTTGTTTTCAGTTTTGGGGGTTGAACCCAGGACCTCACACAAGTTCTCTACCACTGAGTTATGCTCTCAGTCCTAGTAAAGTCTCCCCTTTCCCTTTTTTGGGAGCAGGGGGTCCTGGAGATTAAAGCTGGGGCCTTCATAATTGAGCTACCTCCCCAGCTCTTTTGTAGTTTTTATTTTGAGTCAGAATTTCACTAAGTCACCAAGTTACCTAGTCTAGGCTCAAACTTGTGATTTTCCTGTCTTAGCATCTTAGCGTGCTAGGATTACAGGTATGTACCACTGTACTCTACTTTCTTTGTTCCTTGTTTTGTGGTCTTGCATATTCTAGGCTAGCGATCTGCCACTGAGCAATAGTCCCAGCCCTGTATACATTTTTAATAAAGATACATCATGATTAATTGGTGTTACATTAAATTCCAAACACATTTTCCCAGAGTTACAAATAAGTAACATCTGATTTATGGATTTAAACTTTATATGCTTGTTTTTAAGAGAACAGTTAAAACGAACAGATAAAATCACATTTTATAATTCTAGATGTTTACAGAAACTTCTGCTCCCCTTTTTTAGGTGTATATATTTTTTTAAAATTTCCTTAAAGTAATATATGCATATGACTTAAAAAATAAATGTTATTAAGTGGCTTTTAATGAAAAGTAATGATCTTCTGCCCTGTCTCTCCTCTTAGTTATACTTCTTTGAGCCATGTCTCCTGTTTCTGTTTTTAGTTCCTTTTGGTGATTTGCTTTATATCTCAATAAAAAACATATTGCTTTTAATTTATCAATATTAGGGTGTACCTGGATGTATATTTTATTCTAACTTTATTAACCAAGGTTTGTGAAAAAGTTTTAAATGTTTAAAATAAATATAAATATACTATTGTAGTGGCACCAATAAAAGCCCTGTGTAGTCAGCGTTTTGATGACTGGAAAGAGAAATTTGGACCAATAGGATTGAATTGTAAAGAACTCACTGGAGATACAGCCATGGATGATTTATTTGAGATTCAACATGCTCATATTATTATGACAACTCCAGTAGGTGTTATTTGTACTTTATTTTTCCTTAATTTATTAAGAATGTCTCTTTATCTTTGAGAAAAAATTAAAATGCAAGTTGAAGCATAAATTTACAACATAAACAAACACAAAAGGTAATAATATTCAGGGTACAAAAAGAATGCCTAGAAATAAGTAAGCAAAAGACAAAAGACCAAATAAGAAAAATTAGGAAAGAATATTCAACTTACTGTTGTGGATAATTTGTAATTATATTTATTGCTTATATTCTTTTGCTCAAGTATTTTGTATTATAGAGGAAGTACCTTGTTGGAACTTAAAAATATGTAATTAGACTATAATTTTTAAGTATTTTGTAGTAAAACTTTTAAAAAATTGAAGGCTTATTTTTAAACACCTATAAGATGGTCAAAATCCTTTAAATAATTTTTAATCTTTAAATCTCTTTTAGGACAATTTTACGATATCAACTAAAATATTGATTAAACATGTTTAAAATTTTATTGATGCCTTAAACAATATTTGTTTTAATCTCTTATCAAATTAAACTGCTTGTATTATTTTCTGTAGGAAAAATGGGACAGCATGACTAGGAAATGGAGAGACAACTCTTTAGTCCAACTAGTTCGACTAATTCTCATTGATGAGGTAGTGAACATATTACTCATTTCTAGTGATGAACATAAAAAGATGATTAGAATAGATAAGATTATTTTCAGCCAGGTGTGGTGGTGCACGCCTATAGTCCCACTATTCAGGAGGATGCTGAGGCAGGAGAATTGCTGTGAGTTTAAGGCCACCCTGAACTACATAGCAAGACCCTGTCTAAAAAAAAAAAAAAAAAAAAATTTCAATCAAATACTGTTTAATCCCCTAAAGTGGAAAGTGCTCATTTTCTCAAGAATAAATGTCAGTGTTATTTATACTTTAATTGATTAAATAGACTTTAGTTTTATAGCTAATGAATCTTTGTTGATTTTTTTGCTTAGGTACATGTTGTAAAAGATGAAAATCGTGGACCAACACTTGAAGTTGTAGTCAGCAGGATGAAAACCGTACAGTCTTTATCTCTTCCTTTAGAAAATACTAGTAATAGTGTTCCAGTGAGATTTGTAGCAGTGTCTGCAACAATTCCAAATGCTGAGGATGTAAGTTAGAATTTTGGTCTATCAAGTTTTTTATAACTTGTGAAATGTTTAGTCCTTTTAACTTTAGAGAAAAATTAAGGATTTTCCTGTCAATTACCTAATAAATTTATAGGAAAATATGTTATAGAAATTTATGGCATAATCTCATAGGTATTACAATATTAAGGCCATGAAATTTCATTGATCATGTTTAATGAAATATTTTTAGTGGAAGTCTATTGTTTGCTAGTATCTAAAAGTCATAGTCTTATGGGTTTCAGACACTTTTATAACTTGACTAATATGCAGTGGTCATTAGCTAATTCTAATTGTACAGGAAAGTATGATGGAGTATAAAAATTATTGCTGAGATGATTACCATCTTTTTCCCAATTCTTTGTGTCTGGAATTGTAATAAGCAGTAATGATTGATGCAAAAGTGAGAACATATGGGCCCTGTCCTTTAGGAGGATATCATGGTTATAGGTACGTAGACATGTAAAGAGATAATTATATGTAATATTATATTTCCATAATGAATATATGAACTAAGTTTTTCTTTGATTTTTAGGCAAACTTCTTGAAAAGAGAATATTCTATATACTTCTCAACCTACTATGGTGTTTTAGAAATTATTTTACAAATGGCCTCTCTTTCAATGGAAAATTTTGTCTTTAAATTTGCAGTCACTGGTTCTTAAAGTGACTTGTTAATATTCATGAGTAATATATAGAATTTATAGTATAGGAAAACAATACAACTGAAACCCAGGGTTTGTCCTTACAGATGTTTGCTGTGTATCAGTTTTCCATTGCTATAACAAAATACCTGATGCAGGGTAATTTCTTTTTTTTAAAAGAGGTTTATTTAGGTTCACACTTTTGGAGGCTGGAAGTCTGAGAGTGGATTGCTTCATCTCTTAGTCTCATGAGGCTCTTACTGGCTACCTTATCACATGATGGAAAGACTATGGCAGGAACGCATGTGAGAGTGAGAGATCATATAGCAGACCAGACAGATTCAAAAGCCAGCCTCACTTTTTAAACAACTCATTCTCATGAGAATTCACTAACTCTGCAATACCAGCATTAATCTTCCCAAGGGTAACATCTCCAGTAATCTAAATACATTCTACTAGGCTTTACCTCTTAAAGATTCCACCACCTCCAGCATTATCACTACACTGGGGAACCAAGCTTCCAACATTAGAACTCTTAGGAGATATACTTAAAAAGTGTCCAAACCGTAACAACATGGAATCTTAACATATGTACTTATTTGACCTACATTTTCATATGTCTGCAAATATTTCCATGTCGTTAGTCTTCTTTTGTACTATTTTTGTAGTTTTATAATTTATCAAGCCTCATAATAATGGAAGATTGTTATTTCTCCTTTTTCTGTTATAAACAATGATGAAATTAATGATCTTTGAGAATGTTCATGATCATTTCCATACAATGAACTTCTACAGTAAACTAACCAAATTAAAGGATATATAAAATTTTAAGGATGTATTACCATTAGTAAGTGTTATATTCATTTGTTTAAGCAGCCATTTCTCTTTATTATACCAGCAGTCAAATTTCTGAATTCTAACACTGGATAATATAATAATGAAATTATTATTAAAGATTAAATATAAAACATCTATATATTAATATTAAATATTTGTCCAATTTATTGTTTAACATAGTATCTTATTTTAAAATTTTTTACTTGTTTGGTTTTTATTGAAGTAAATATTTTTGTTGTATTTATCAATCACTTGAATTTTTTTTTTTTTTTTTTTTTTTTTTTTTTTTGCAGCTTGCTGGGTCATGCCCTTTACCCGTTTTTCACCTTGGGATACTAAATTTTTTGCTTTACTGACTCATAAACAGTTATTATATAACTGTTTCTTTGTCTTATTTTATTATTGCCTATTAATTGTACAGCATAATAGACTTTGTTGTGCCATTGTCATTTATGGATACTATATACCTTGATCATAATTACTCTCTATCAGTTTCCCTTACTCTCCCTAATGCCTTTTCCCTGATCCTCTTTCTCTTCTCTAATGGTCTGCCTTCTAATTACCTTCTAATTCTTGAAATTTCTTCCTCTTTGTGATAGTTCACTGGTTCTGTGAATGCTATTTGTCTATTCAGATGCTCTTCCTCAATTTCCCGCTAAAGTCTTTAGCCATCTGTTCTTATAAGCCTGCATTTTCTTGTGTGATCTTATTCCCAACTGTGGTAACCTAGACAATATATCAGTATTTTTTGTGTGTGCAATAAGAAACTTTTTTCTGTCAAAACAATGATCAGTCTCATAGCAGGACATGGAGTCTGATTACTAACCATATCTTGCAAAGAAAACGATTGCTTATCACAGCTCCACGAACGAACTAGTGACTCTCGCTTTGAGTCTGAAATGTGCTTTTGCACTGCCATCTCTCTAGTGTTTATTTGTTCCTTGATAAAAATTGCCAGTTCTTGCCAACCTAAGGTAGCCATTTAGGTAGCCAGAAGAAGTTTCATTCACTTCAGGCATAGTTGTAGAAAACAGCAAAGTTACAGTAATAATGAGAAATTCAATTTCTATAAAAATAAATTTTAATTTTACTTTAGACTCTTATGAAGGAAAATAAACTAATAATTATTTTGAAATTTGCCATAATGAAAATCAGGTATTGTCTTGTAATTCTACTATAGGAAACAGGAGGTAGCCCTTATGCAAATAGGGAGGGAATCTAGGGATGTGGCGGGGAGGAGAGAGATGAAAGGAAATGAGAAGTATAAAAGATTAAGATGTGATATGTATGTGAACCAACTCCTTGGAATGAATGTATTCATTATGTATCACAAACATGCACTAATAAAAAAGTTTTTTAAAAACCCCACTGTTAGCATTTACCAATATAGCAATAGCACTATATGAATGTAATATGTAATATTGAAAAAGACTACTGAAATCCTTTTATAACTTAATTTTAAAGTGGTCTATAATTGGGTTATTTTTTGCTATAGAACTTTACTAGAAAAGATTTATTGTACATGTTTCTGTTTGTTCAAGGTAGCAGAATGGCTTTCAGATGGTAAAAGACCTGCTGTATGTCTGAAAATGGATGAGAGCCATAGACCGGTGAAACTTCGGAAAGTAGTCCTGGGATTTCCCTGCAGTAGTAACCAAACTGAATTTAAGTTTGATTTAACCCTCAACTACAAAATTGCCAGTGTTATACAAACATACTCTGATCAGAAACCTACACTTGTGGTATGAATTGTTGGTTGCTTACTTTTAGTGTGATGTTCAGTTTTTAACATGGTTAATATAGAAAGTGTTAATTTATTTTCAGTTTTGTGCAACAAGGAAAGGTGTGCAACAAGCTGCTTCTGTTCTTGTGAAAGATGCTAAATTTATTATGACTGTGGAACAGAAACAAAGGTATATTTATTCACTTTTGATTGAAAGTAGAATTTATAGGAATCATTTAAATGAAGTAAGAAAACATGGATTTATCCCTTAACCTTAGGCAAGTTATTTGATGTCTCTAAACCTCATTTTTCTCATATGTAAAATACGAATAGTGGTAAGATAGGGAATCTTAATGCAGCTATGATCCTATCTTTATTTCATAACCAAATTTCTTAAAAAATAAAGATTATTCATATTGCTGTCTTCATGTTTAATGTAATTTCAGTCCACCAGCTGCTGTAATCTTTCACTAAAACTGACCTTGCTAAGTTATCTGTCATGAGCCTCTAACACATTTGACCTCCTCTACCTTATTTAAACACACTGAACTCTGTTTTTCCTTGATCATCTTCTACCATTGAGCTTACTACTTTCATGCTACCAGTTCTCAGTAACCTTTTCTACCAAACTCAAAATTTGGCATTCTGGAGGGTTCTACAGGAAAGTCAGTTTTTCTAATTCCACACCTCTGTGTTTGTATCTATTCACATAAGGTTTAAACAATTTATTTATGTCTATGAATTTCCAGATTTATATTTGCACCCAAGACTTCCCTTCTGAGCTGGCCTGTAGTTTGTCTGCCTAATGAACTATAGGCCAAATTGTATATTTTATGGTCATCTTAAATTCAATATGTTCAAAATAGAACCTCACTTCTTTGTCTCAAATTACCTGCTTCCAGCCTTCTCTATCTTAATATGTAATCTTCTTAGTTGCTGATAGCCAATCATTGTTTTCTCTCTCACTTTCCTTTCCCTATGCAGTCAGTTACCAAATTTTGTTTATCTTTACTTCCAAATATAACAACCAACTTGGTCACCAATGTAATGATATTGAGAGGTGGTGAGACCCTTAAGACATGTGGTCCAGTGGGATGTGAATAAATCATGGTGGCATGATCCTCACGAATGTGTATCTCAAATATGTCATTTTTGTCTCCATTAGCACACTCACCTCCCTAATTCAAGACACTATTAATCTCCTATCTGGTTTATATCCTTTTATCTGTTGACCATGTGCATATTCTTTTCTCACTTCATTTTCTGTGTAACAAAGTGATTGTTTAAAATTACAACACTAAGCTGAGTGTAGTGGTGCATACCTATAATGCCAGTACTGGGGAAGGCTAAAGCAGTAGAATCAACATAAGTTTGAGGCCAGTCTGGGCTACAGAGTGAGTTCAAAGCCAGTGTGAATTACAGAGTGAGACCTTGAGCCCTCTGCTAAAAAAATTGCAAAATTAAATCTTTTGGCTTCCTGCCTAAAACCCTATAATAGCTTCTGACTCTTATTAGGATAAAATCCTAAATCCTTAATGTGGTTTGTAGTACCCTGTATAATGTGATATCTAGCTAATTTTCTGGACTCATCATGACTGTGTTTTTCTTTTACTTACTACAGTCAAGCCACATTGGCCTGTGTTCTATGACCCAAACTGTTATCTTAACCAGGGCTGCATCATGTTTTCTTTTCTTGGAATGGATTCTACCCAACTCCTGCTCATCCTTCAGGTCACCTTTAATAATCAGTTTTCTGTAATCCTCAATTTCTCTATATTCATTTTTATAAACACTGTGCTTTTATTATAATTTAGTTATAAATATCTTATTTAATTCATTAGATTGTGACTTTTTTCTTAATTTTTGTTTTTTATTAGTACTTGTTTGCAGTACATAGTGATCATGTTCTTCATGGGGACCTGGTACAATAGATAACATATCTCAATTCTTTTTTCATCTCTTTTCCCTCCTTTCCTTCATACTTCTATTCATCTCTTGGTTCCCTTCCCATTTGCAAAGATCTGCCTACATATTTTTTGTAATCAGTCTTATTTTGCTCTTTATGTTTTGGGTTTCCCATGTAAAAGAAGCCATGTGATATTTATGTACCTTATTTTTTTCACTTAATATTATGATTTTAAAGTGCATCCATTTTCCTACAAATGACTAAGCAAGGAAGTGAAAGACCTCTACAGTATTCTGAAAAAGGAGATGGAAGAGGACATTAACAAATGGAAAGGTATCTCTTGTTCCTTGATAGGCAGAGCCAATATAATCAAAATGTCCACAATTCCCAAACTGACAATACAAATTTAACACACTCACTATTAAAATACCAGTAGCATTCCTCACAGAACTATAAGAAACAGTCTTAAAATATATATGAAAACAGAAGAAACTCAGAATAGCAAAAGCAATTCTGGGTAACAAAAAGCAGGAGCATCAGAATCCCAGATTTCAAGTTATATTACAGAGCTACAGTGATAAAAACAGTATGGTACTAGCACAAGAACAGACACACAGATCAATGGAACAGAATAGAGAAAGCCGAAACAATGTGCCTGAGGTTGTTTCTGCTTTCTCTTTTCTGTTTCCATTTGGCTAAAAATATACAGTAGAAGAAAGCCTCTTTAATAAGTGGTGCTGGGAAAACCAGCTACCCACATGCAGAAGATTGACTCTAGACCCATATATCTCACCATGTACTAAACTAAAATGAACCGAAGATCAAAATGTTAAATATTTAATCTACTGGAAGATAAAACTTTCAACTAGGTAAAATATAGGTGGAGACAAGGACTTTCTGAGCAGAACCCCATTTGCACAAGAAATGCCATCAAGAATCAACAAATGGGATCATATCAAATTAAAAAGATTTTGTCCAGCAAAGGAAACAACCAACAGCGTGAAGAGACAACCTACAGAATGGGAAAAAAATTTTGCCAGCTTTTCTTCAGACAGGACTGATATCTAGAATATAAAGACTCAAAAAAGTAGATCCCCCCTCAATAAAAGACCCAATTTTTAAAATGGGCAAGTGGAATGAATAGACACTACTCAGAAGTACAAATAGCTGATAAATTCAAGAAAAAATGTTTAGCATCTCAGGCCATTAGAAAAACGCAAATTAAAATAACACAGATTTCGTCTTACTCTAGAAAGAATGGCTATGATCAAGAAATCACATTATAACAAATACTGTCAAGGCTGTGGGGGAAAAGAAACTCTTCTACATTGTTGGTAGAAATGTAAATTAGTAAAACTAGTATAGAAGTCAGTATTGAGATTCCTCAAAAAACTAAAACCATAAATTTTGTTCAATCTAGCTATTCCACTTCTAGGTATCTTCCTGAAATAGTTAAAACATCATATTACAGTGATACATGCATACCCAGGTTTATAGCAGCATAACTCATAGCTAAATCTTGAAATTGGCTTTTATGTCCATCAAAAATGAATGGATTAAAAAATGTTGCATTTATACACAATAGAATACTACTCTGCCATAAAAAAGGATAAACATTAGATTGCAAATGGGGAATCATGTTATTTACCACTTAATCTTAGCATGTCTCAACAGATTGCTAGCACATGGTTAAAAACATTAGCATATTATTATTAATAACAACTTTGGAAAATGAACAAAAATACTTAGTGGTAGGCCCCAGACTAAAATTGGATTGGATAATTACATGTATATGTGAGCATATGTTGACTTTTCTGGCTCATTTTCTATACACAGATGTACTTCTTTCCATGTGGGTTCAACTTAGCTTTCAAATGATCAGTTTTTCCCTTATCATCACCTCTTGTCACTTGTCACCCAAAAACATGTACTAAGCCTAGGAGATATCACTTTAATTTTCTGGACATTCTTTGGCTTTCTAGTCATTAAAAAGATGGGTCTCTGGCCATTTTAGTCAATTAAAGAATTACAAACAGTGGGCTGGGGATTTAGCGCAGTGGCACCGCACCTCCCTCGCAAGTGCAAGGTCCTGAGTTCGATCCCCAGTACCAGAAAAAACAAAAAAAAGAATTGCAAACATAGCTACTTACCCACATTTCATATTAGTTTTATACTTTTATTTCCACTTCAAAGATTTCACCTGATCTTGGTTACTGCTACACTAAAAAAAAAAAAAAATCTAAAGATTTGAAGTATATAGAGACTTGTTTTTAGTATGCACATCAACAAAGCAAGATTAAGGAGTTAAGTTACAGAAGAGAGTGAGAAAAACCAGCAAAGACTTTACAACTAGAGCATGGATCAAGTCTGAGCTGGTAGACAGAGAGAAAGTGAAAGTAATACTAAGGTAACAATAGCATAGATTTCTTTCTTCCCATCTGATATGGTTTGAAAACGTTTTGAAAATGGTGTGTCCCCAAAAGCTTTGTGTTGCTGGAAGCTTGATCCCCAATGTAACAGTATTGAGGGGTGGTAGGACCTTTAAGAGGTGAGGCCACTACCCTCATGCATGAGTTAATGTCTTTCTCAAGCAGATTGGGTTAGTTGATCAGATCTTACAGGAGTGAGTTCTCACAGGACTGGATTAGTTCTGAAAATGAGTTCACTTCCCTTCTACTTTCCCACCACGCACGGAAATGAAGTGGCACATGGCCCTCACCAGAAGCCAAACAGCTCTTGATCTTCCACAACTGTGAGCCAAAATAACCCTGCTTTTTTTTTTTTTTATAAATTACCCAGCCTCAGATATTTTGTCCTAACAATGGGAACTGAACTAAGTGACTGCCTTTGTTTTATACTCCAGAGAATACCATATATTAATCTTTTATTAGGAGCAATTACAAATTAAATAAAATCTCATTTGTCCATCTTGCATGTTTAGTTTTTGTTTCATTCCCCGAGAAAGGCATAAATGAAAAGAACAGAATGACACTTTGAGTGTAGACTAAGAAAGAAGGTTGTTGCTCACATTAATTCCTCTTTAACCAGTCACTCGAGCTACTCCCACAAGGCTTTTTGGTTTTTGTCTATCAAGCCCTACATACTGTTACTAAGGCTTCTAAACATGCCTAATATGGCCAACTTCTCTGTACTCTAGTCTTTTTACTTTCTATTAAACTTTTTCTCCTATATTACACATTTAAATAACAAAATATGTCTGTATTTTGAAATTTCTCAGTTAATTTCCAGAATTTAATTTGAAGTATTTTTATAGAGGGAATAGCTCCTGAGCCTTTGAATCAGGATTCCTTGGCTACTTACGGCCAGTGGTCAAGCATTGGGAGAATGTGTGCACCTGTTTTCTTGCTCAGAAACTAAGTCTGAAAGCTATCTTCAAAAACCTATAGAATTCTTTATGGAATGGAAGAATCATTCACATAGATTAACTATGTGGCCTCCATGGGTGAATACTTAATAATAAACATTTTTAGCTGAACTTTATCTGAGTAAGAAACTGAAATATGTAGGATATAAGTTCTCTTTAAACCAAGATACATTCCATTCTCTCCCCTTTTTTTCTGTTCAATGCACATGGATTATTTTCAGAAAATTATTTTCTTGAAGAGAAGCATATGCAGTATTAATTCCTTCTCTCATTTCCCACACTTACCTAAGGAAAATTTGTTAACTCACTCTTCACGCTTTACTCTCCTTTTTTCTTTCTTTATCCTCTTTTCATTTTTGTGTTTCAGCAATAAAATGTTGGCATTAGAAACAGCATGAAGTTAGAGAACCAAATTTCAATTGTAGCACTGTCACTTTTACCAGTTACTTAGCATTGAATGTGCTTCTTTCTCCTCCCTTCCCTTCCTCTCCCCCTCCTTCTTCTCTCCTCTCTACATTCTTCTCTTCCTCCCTCTCTCCACCTCATCTCCCTTAGTACTGGGGATCAAAACCAGGGTCATGGTCACAGCAGGCAAGCATTGTACCACCAGGCTACATACCTAGCCCATCAGCTTCAGTTTCTTAATTAGGTTTTGGTATATGGAAATCTACTGTCTTTAGCATATTACTATGATAATTAAATAAGGCAATATTTCTTAAATACTTAATTGTGTAATACAGAATTTATGCTTAATAATAACATGCCCTTTCCTCTTGCCTTCTCTTCATCCCATTGTGAAGCCTTGAAAAAAAAAAAGAACGTTATAAAATAAGGGCTCCTAATGTTATATATGCAACAAGGACAGGAGAAAACACTAATTTGGGGATTCTTAGACATACTTAAGAACCAAGTCTACCAACTTCCAAAATCTTTGAAAGTACTGAGAATTCCTTTTCAAATGTTCAAGGTTTCTTAACTTCTGCTTCTCTTTCAATTTAACATAGTTTTCTTTACATGCCATATCTCAGAACACAACAAAAAAGTTGTTTTTATTTTAATATTTTTTGGTTACTAGCAATATGGTAGACTTTTAGGATTTGTTATTTCTTACAGGTATTTTTAAGAAAAAGTATGAAGGTAGACTTTTAAATTCTGACCGTGAACATTTATAATGTCATTATAACCATTTATAATGTTTTTCCTGTGTATAGAAAAGTGAGTTTTCTAAATTCTTGGTTTAGAAGTGAGCTTTAATGTTATAGCTAATAAGTTAGGGACTTCTGAGTATGAAAAATATTTTTCTACTTTTCAAAAATAGTTTTCAGATAATATGAAAATCTTTTTGTATTTGTAAGTATCAAAATAAACTTTCAGAGTTTTCTGATGTTACTGGGAATAACTCAATAATTTTTATTATATTTTTAAATAGGTTACAGAAATATGCATATTCTGTAAGAGATTCAAAACTCAGAGGTAGGTTAGAGACAATTTTTGAACAGCATCTTCATTTACAGATAATAAGAGGCAGTTACTCATAAAGTATTAACAGTAACTGACAATATATTTCTCTTATAGATATCTTAATATATGGTGTTGCTTATCACCATGCTGGTATGGAGCTATCAGATAGAAAAGTAGTTGAAGGAGCTTTTACTATTGGAGATCTACCAGTTCTTTGTAAGTAAAAGATTTCTTGTTGATATTATAAAATATTTTGGAAAATTACTTTTTAAAAGAAAAAAGAAAAAGCTTAAGAATTCTGAATTGTTTCTAACTACCTATGCATGTACATGTCACAGCAAATTCATGGACAGTGTTTTGTTCTTTATCTTTTGGAAATAATGCAATTTGAAAAGTAAGAACTTAATAGTGTTTTGGTTTATTAGTACATTATAGATATATATTATATTCACATTCATCATTGGGAATTCATACCTATACATGGTATATCTTGATTCCTCTTTTTTCCCTTTCCCCCCTCCATCCCTTCTACCCCTCTACCCCTCCATATTTACAAAAAATCTTTTTTCCATTTTTTCCTTTTTTTCTCATATTTTTTCTTTCCCTTCTTTCTTTTCCCCACCTCCTCCCTTCCCCTTTTGCACCCTTTCTTCCTATTTCACATTATCTGTTAGACATTTTGGTACTCATTTTACACTTTTGGTTTCTTACACCAGAGAAACTCTTCGATATTTACAAATGTATGTCCTATTTATTTCACTTAAAGAGTATGGCGTCAACATGAATCCAGTCTCTAGTTTATCATTCTTTATGGCTGAGTAGTACTGTATTTTATAAAAAAAACCCCACATCTTCTTTATATGCATTCCTTATATATGAGTGTTTATTACATTTATAAGGACATATCTTTTATAAGAAAGACATTGTCTTCCTGAAGGGACAAAGTTATAAAGCTTGAAATTAATACTTCTTAATCTAATGCAGTTACTACCAGTACTTTAGCTATGGGAGTAAATTTGCCTGCTCATCTAGTAGTTATAAAATCTACAATGCATTATGTTGGAGGAATGTTTGAAGAGTACAGTGAAACAGATATTCTCCAGATGATTGGGAGAGCAGGTCGACCTCAAGTAAGTAACAACTTTAGTTTTCACAATTTATTTTAAAGACATGGCAAACCCCAAAAATTGTTTTTGTGTATTTTTGTGATTAGATTTCATAATTAGATAAAGTTGAAACCAATGTAACTGAGAAAATCTACTTTATTAGAGAAATAGAAGTAAAACAAGTATCATAAACTGGGATATATCTCACCCCATCCCTACCTCCCACTCTCTGAACTCCAATTGATTACTGAAGGGATGGATTTATGAATGGGTATGCTGTTAAAAATTTTGTTTGTTTGTTTCTGTTTTTACTTTATTTTGAATGGGGATTTTCTTAGCATTTTGGATGGGATTTTTTTTTTCACTAGGTAGAACTCTTATGTGCCTTATAAAACATGTACTATCCCTGGGTCTAGCAATAAATGCCCGCAGTGGTCCCCAGGGATTGTGAAGATTAAGTCAGCCCACATACATCTGAAAACATTCCTTATTCTGACAAATACTTGAATGAAGTCATCCATTTAGGTACTAAGGGACTATTCAGGAAGAATAGCTTTTTACAATGTGTCAAAATACTGTTATAAAAATTTATGATTTTATAAGATAAATAAGATTATATGTAAATGACACAGCAAATCTTAAAACTTTATCCAGTTACCAAAATTGATTTTTTTGTTGTTGGTGGTGTTGTTCTTTTTTTTGGTACCAGGGATTGAACTTGGTACTTGGTCCTTGCGCGGCAGGCACCAGAACCACTGAGCTAAATCCCTGGCCCAGTGGTTTTGGTTTTTAACATTGACAATGTGACAGTTTATGTCACACTGAAACAAAGTGGTATTTACAGTAGAGCAATCATCTTGGAATATTTTTAAATTAAAATTTTAGTTAACATTCAAATTTAGAAGCATTTTTAGGACTGTTGGCCTTTAAAGCTAAGAGACTATTCATTATAAAATTAAGATCTTGGGTTGTTGAAAAGAAATGATGTCATGTTATGCTCTCCTTTACTAACTTTGGGTAGTTTTTGTTTCTGTTTTCAGTTTGACACTACAGCTACTGCAGTTATTATGACTCGGTTAAGTACAAAAGAGAAATACATTCAGATGTTAGCTTGTAGTGACACTGTAGAAAGCAGGTAATACAGAAATATTCTAAAAGGATATTAATGTTAATACTATCTGTTTTTCTTTTAACATAGAAAAGAAATTTGGTTCATGTATTTTCTAAGGTGATTTTCTTGAAAATTTTTAACAACTAAAAAGTTGGAGTCATTGTAAGGAATTTAATTTTTTTAAAAAAGGAACGGAGTAGTTTTACTAAGTGGTGTTTCTTAGCATGGGGTAACATATCTTTGTTACAAAAAGTGTAATTTGTACTGAAGTCTTAGTATTATTATATTTTAATTTTTATATATTATATAAATTTGTAATTACTAATTTGTAGTAAGAGGAGAAATATCATTTTCACATATTTAAAATTTGTTTAACAATAAGGGAGACAATTTAACTTTTTAGTGTTTGATGTATTTTCTCTTGGAGAAAATATGTCAAAATAGTCTCCTTCTCTCCCTATCCTGCACCTTTCTTAAGTAAGTAATGTGTCTTCTAGAACCATGAAGTAGAGAAAATCTCAAATTTTTTAGATCTTAAACTGACTTTTTAAGGCTTTCTCTTATATTTTTGGAAATTAAGTTATCTTTTTATGAATTATTTAAGTAGCAGTGAGAATATTAAATACATTATCAAAATTTAAAAAGCTAAGAGTTATAGCATTGAAGTGCATAGTAGTAATGCAGAGGTTTTTGTTTTTCTCCCCATTAGCTTGCACAGACATCTTATCGAACATTTAAATGCAGAGATAGTATTGCACACCATCACAGACGTGAATATTGCTTTGGAATGGATACGGTCAACCTTGCTTTATATCAGAGCTTTGAAAAACCCAACTCATTATGGTTTGTTACTTTGACCTGGAAAAGTAGTAATTTTTTTCAAGCCAGCTGGGCCTTGGTTTATACTAATGGGTTACAGAGTAGATTACAGAAACTCAAAGTTAACAGAAACAAAAGGTAACAGTCACAAATATGTTTAGAGGCAAGTGTAAACAAAAGTAAGAAAATTTTACCTGCTTTTTAATAAGCTTTTAAACGAATCATTAAAAGTAAAACCAGTAGAAAAAAATTTACCTCTAATAAAAATGCCTAAAATCATTAAAAATAAAATTTTAAAGTCTTAAATTTTGTCTTTATTTAGTGTTTAGGAGCTTCCTTACTCTGAATTTGACTGTTCATTTTTTAATTTAATGTATTTTGCATTTCTCCCTTCTCTTGGATATTTTAGTTTTTGTAATTATTTTTATATTGAGTTATCATTTGTATAAAATAAATTTTGCAAAGATCAGGTTTTATATATATGTATACATAGACACACCCCCAAAATGTAACCACACCCCAGATCAAGATGTAGAACATTTCCTGAAGTTTCCTTACACCTATCAGTATCCATCTCCCCAGAAGTAAATGCTATTATCACGTCTATCATCATAGGTTAGCTTTATCTAGTCTTTAACATAGTATAAATGCAAGCATTTATTCTTTTGTCTCTAATTTCTTTTGTTGCACATAATGTTTATGAGATTCACCCATATTTTGGATATATTAGTAGTTGTTTTTTATCATTATTGTATAATACCTAGTTGTATGAATATACCACAGTTTAATTATCTGCTCTTGTTAACATGGGTCATTTTCAGTTTTTTACTCCAGTGAATAAAGCTACTATGAACATTGTTATATATATCTTTTGGTGGGTGTGGGTATTCATTTTTCCTGAGTATTATAGGAGTAAAACAGAATAGGCCTATAACCTGTGTTTAGCTTTGGTAGATACCCTCTAATACAGTAATTTTCTAAGACAGTTGAACCAGTTTATACTTTTAGCAACAATATGTAAGAACTCTAAGCCAGACCATGGTGTGCACCTGCAATATGAGCTACCTAGGAGGCTGAGGCAGAAAAAGCCTTTGTGTTTGAGGCCCTGTCTTGGATCTGCAGTACACACACATACACACACACACACACACACACACACAATAAATAAATAAACATTAAAAAAGAATTATGGTTGCTTCACCTACTTATTAGTGGTTGGTTTTGTCTTTAATTTCATTCATTCCTCTTTGTATGTGCTTGCATTCATGCATGTGCATGTGTATGTGTATGTGTAACAGTTTGACTTTTTAAACTTTTTTTGGGGGGGTACTGGGGATCGAACTCAGAACCTTACACTTGTGAGGCAGGCGGCGGAACCACTGAGCTAAATCCCCAGCCCTAAACATTTTTATTAGTGCCCATTAATTTTACAAAATACTAGGCTTCAATGCATATATTTTGATTATATTATTCTACCATTGCTATCCTTTACATCCCTCCTCATCCCTTTTATGTTCCCCTTGTTTAATAATAATCTCCTTTCTACTTTCATGTCTTTTTTTTTTGGTAGTACTAAGGATTGAACTCAGTGCCTTCACACTGAGCTACATCTCAAGCCCCTTTTTATTTTTACTTTTATTTTGAGACACAGTCTCACTAAGTTGCTTGGGCTGGCCTCTCAAGTTTACAGTCCTCCTGCCTCAGCTTCTCTGCTGGGATTACAGGCATGTGCCACCGTGCTGAGCTTCATGTCATCTTTTTTAGATTCCATATATTAGGAAGAACATGCAATATTAGGGCAAATATGCTGACTCTATCTTATTTCATTTAATATCATGATCTCCATTTCCATCTATTTTCTTGCGTATCACATAATCTAGTAATTCCTTATGGCTGAACAATAACCTGTTGTGTATATATACTTTTAAAAAATCAGTTCATAGGTACCTAGGCTAGTTCTGTATCTTAGTTATTGCGAATTGTGCTGCAATAAACATGAGTATGCAGTTATCCCTATAGTATGCTGACTTTAATTTTTTCAGGCATATATCAAGAAGTGGTATAACTGGATCAAATGGTAGCTCTATTTTTAGTTTTTTGAGGAACTTCCATACTCATTTCCATAGGGACTGTACTAATTTGCATTTTCACCAGGAGTGTAGAAGAGTTCCTTCCCCTAATACACATCCTCAACTGCAATTATTGGTGGTTTTTTTTTCAGGTGATAGCTGTTCTGACTTGGATGAGATTGAATTTCAATCTCTCTCTGTGTCTGTCTCTGTCTCTCTGTCTCTCTCTCTCTTTCTCTCTCTTGTAATAGGGATGAAACTCATGACCTTTGCACTGAGCTATGTATTTGTAGCCTCTCACTAAGTCTGTCTCATTAAGTTACTAAACTCCTGGCGGTGAGCTCAAACCTGCAATCTTCCTTGCCTCTATAACGTCTCAGAATGCTAGGATTATAAACATGTGCCATGCCCAGTTTTAATGTAGTTTTGGTTTGAATTTTCCTAATGTCTAAAGGTGTTGAATTTTTTTTCATATACTTATTGGCTATTTGGACTACTTTTGAGAAGTGTCTATTCATTTGCTCATTTATTCACTGGGTATTTGATTGGGGGGGGTGTGTTGAGTTTTATAAGTTGTTGTTCTTGTTGTTTTGTACCGGAGATCGAACTCAGGACCTTGCACTTGCAAAGCAGGCGCGGTGCCACTGAACTAAATCCCCGGCCCTTATGAGTTTTTTTTATATGTTCTAGATACTAACCCTCTGTCAGAAGAGTAGCTGGCAAAGATGTTTTCTTATTCTGTAGGCTGTCTCTTCACTCTGCTAGTTGTTTTTCTTCCTGTGTAGAAACTTTTTAGTTTGATGTTATCCCATTTTTTGATTCTTGCCATTTTTTTTCCTGTGATATTAGAATCCAATTCAGGAAGTCTTTGCCTATGCCTATGGCGTCATGTGTTTCCCCTATGTTTTCTTCTAGCAGTTTCAGCATTTCAGGTCTTACACCTACATCTCTGATGTATTTTGAATTCATTTTTGTTCAGGCTGAGAGACAGCAAGCTAGATTTAGTCTTCTACATACGAATATCTAGTTTTCCCAGCACCAATGTGTAGTTTTGGCACCTTAGTCAATAATCAATGACTGTAATTGGGTGGGTTTATTCCTATGTCCTCTATTCTATTCCATTGGCCTAAGTGTCTGTTTTGTGCCAATACCATGCTGTTTTGGTTCATATGGTTTTGTAGTATAATTTGAAATAGAGTATTATGATGCCTCTAGCTTTGCTCTTTTTGCTTAGGTTTTTTTTTTTGCTATTCCTAAAATATGAATTTTAGGATTATTTTTCTAGTTCTGTGAAGAATGTAATTGGAATTTTGATGAGAATAGTATTGAATCTGTACATAGATTTTGATATATGGCTGTTTTAACAATATGAATTTCATGCCGTGAACATGGGAACATGTTCTATCTTCTATTGTTGTCTTCTACTTCTTTCTTCAGTGTTCTGAAATTTTCATTGTAAGAGGCCTTTCACCTCCTTGGTAAGGTTGATTCCTAGATATTTTTTAAAGCTATTGTAAATGGAATTATTTTCCTGATTTCTCTCATTATAGAATAACTATTGATTGGTATATAGAACAACTATTGATTTTTTTTTAATGTTGATTTTGTGTCCTGTCTTTGTGATTTTATTTTGCATTTTCCTGATGAATACTAGCACTAGGATCTTTTGTATGTTGTTGGCCACTGTAATACTACCATTTTGTGAAATGCTCATTCAAATCTTTTATCTAGTTTAGGTTATTTGTATTTTTATTATTAATATATAAGAGTTCTTAATATATTCTGGATAAGTCTTTTTTTTTTCAGTACTGGGGATCAAACTCAGGACTTTGGGCTTGTGAGGCAGGCATGGTGCCACTAAGCTAAATCCCCAGCCCTAAGTCTTTTGCCAAATATATATTCAAATTTTTCTCCTAAGCTGGATTGAATTCATTTTCTGAAGAATCTTTTGATGAAAGGAAATTCTTAGTTTTAAATAAAGGTGCTGTGAACTTTTTTGTATATGTTCTTCTATACACATGTACATGTATATCTGTTGGTATGTGCCTGGAGGTTAAATCACTGTGTTGTAATAGTTTCAGCATTACTAAATAACACAAGTTTCCATAATGGTTGCATTACAAAATACTTTTTCATAGGAACATCCATTTCATAATGAAAGTCCACTAGAAAATATTCATCACTTGGCAGAAATTTATTATTTGTAAAACATTAGAAATTTAGTCCACACTATTCTTATTAAAATATAGTATTTCTCAAACAAACAAACAAACAATGGGTTTGGTTGCATACATTTACAATCCCAGCACTTGAGAGGCTAAGGCACAAGGATCACTTTGAGTTTGAAGCCAGCCTGGGCTAAATAGTGAAACCCTGTCTCAAAAAACAAAAGAAAACAATATATATACTTATACTTTAATTTCTAGTCACTTTTGTATGATAAAATAAGTCAAAAATAGACAATTGATATTGAAAAGATTTCAAAACAGTGGACTATGTTCTATAGATATTTAAGCTTTATTTGAATTCATTAAGCTATTTTTTGAGATTTAGATACTTTTCTCCAGTTAAATAAGGTATAGACTGAGCCTATAAAAATGAATTAAATCCATTTTTTTTTTACTTTTTATAAATTTTTATCATTTTACAGGTTTTACATCTGGATTGAACAAAGATGGAATTGAAGCAAAATTACAAGGTTAGATATATTTCCTTCTAAAAATGTATGTTCTTTGAACTTTAATGAGAAAAGTCAGTTATTATGGAAGTGAGGTTACTCTTGTAAATTAAGAGTAAACTTGGGTTGGGGATGTAGCTCAGTGGTTCCAGTGCCTGTCTCGAAAGTGCAAGGTCCTGAGTTCAATCCCTGGTACCCCCAAAAAAGTAAACTTGTCTTCAGAAAACAATACATGAATCATTTCTTTGTTACATAACTAAAACCTAGCTTGTGTACTTTTTTCTGAACTAATGTATTTATTCTATCAGAATATCATTCTTTGCATAATATTGTTGGCTTGTTTTTTTAATTTTTAAAATAACCCTGATCTTTGAAAATGTTGCCTATCTTGCCTTTATTTTTCTAGTTTAGCTTTAATTGAAAATATAAGCCTCACTTGATTATGAGCTTCTTTTTAAAATTAATTTTATTGGCACATTTTAGATATACACAATGATAACATTCTTCATAAGGAATTTGTACCTATGCATGATATATCTTTTCTTTTTTTTTTTTTTGGTACCGGGGATCAAACTTGGGACACTACGCTTGCGAGGCAGGCGGCAGCACCACTGAGCTAAATCCCTGGCTGCATGATATATTTTAATTCTCCTTTTCTTCCCATTCACCTCCCCTCCCTTCAGCCCCTCTTCCCCTCCTTATTTACAAAAGCTTTGTTTCCATTTTTTCCTTCTTTTTTTCTATTCCATTCCTTCTTCCCCCTCCCCTTTCCCCAGTTCCCCTTCCCACTTGAACATTTTCTTCCTATTTCACAATATCTATTATACATTTTGTTCCTTGATTATGGGCTTCTTATTCCAAATTCTAGCTCTCTTGTTCAATTAATAATTTAGTGTATCATTACTTGGGAGTATGAGGCAGGACCCTTTTGGAATGAGAATCTTGGGATCTACTTTCAGGCAAGGTAGGTCATGCTTCACAGAGAAAGGTAGGGACACTGTTTGAGAGGCTATTTCAGTATTCTTCAAAGTACTTGGGATTGTGTTTTCTGAGCTTTGACATCATTCTTAGAGGTCTGCTTTAAATTTCTCAGAGATGGATCTTAGTGTAGTATATAATGTTTCTTAAACTTGGTTGTCATCTTGCTCAGTATCCTCTGATAATTCTCCTATCACTTGTAGAATAGTATGGAAACTTCTAGCAGAGCCCCCCTCCCCAAATCCTACTTGATATCCTTCTATTTTTCTACCTTCATCTCTTACCACTTTCTCCTTTTTATTGTGCTATCTCCAAATTGGTATGTTGTTCTTTAAACATATCAAGCTCATTCCCACTCAGGTCCTTTCCACTCTTTTTCCTTATTCTTAGAACATTTCTGGAATATTTTACTTGAATTGCACCTTCATTTCATTCAGGTCTTTGTTAAAGATCAGCTCCTCTAAGACGTCTTTCTGTACTATCTTATATAAATCCTTGTTCACTGACAGTAAGACAAACTGATTTCTCTGTTGTTAAAATTTTCCTTGGTTGTGGAAAAGGTAATATCTGTTTTGGAAATTAAAGTGACTATATCCTTACTTTATATCAGAAACTATGTGGCATATATCAGAAATACACATAAGTCTTAGTTAAAAGCTTTAAAACTCTACTTCATTTTTCTAGGTTGTAAGCTTTATGTTTCTTCACAATATCTTTTGCTACCTGAAACTTTATTATTTGTGTATTGATTCAGTGTCTTCTTAGGATTTATATTTTACTGAAGAAAGCATTTTATGGTACACTGCTGTAAACCTAGAGTTTAGAATAGTGCTCAGCATAAAGTATGGGCAACATTCTTTCTTGACTGACTGATTAGTGGCTAATGAACTCACTTAATAGTGGGTAACTGAGAAAGTTATAAAAGACTTCAAAGCGTTAATTATCAAACATTTTAAACTATCAAACTAACTAGGTGATGTTGCTTAAACTACAGTATTTCCCCAAAAACCTTGCCTTCTAAGGATATTTTAGTGAGCTGCTGCTGTGTTTTGGATTGAACAGGTTGGTGGTACTCACTCTGCTCTCAGCTACCTCACTTTTGAGCTGTGGCATGGGACAGATTGATAATTTCAAGTGATAGACTACAGTTAGAGGTCTATAAATCTCTATCAATTTGTGATCATGAACTAGCATTACTTTTCTTCAGAGGTCCTTTCCTGGTAGCAATAGCAGCATATTTCAGAGAAACAGAAGTAAATATTAAAAATATCAGCTAAAAAAGATTAAGTGGTTTCCTCAGACAAACAAAAAGTAAATGAAGGGAGAAACAGGTGGGTTTGGAATAAATTTTGTAGAACTGTTGGACTCTTTGTAATTTATACATATACATCTTTGATGAGAGTTTAAAGAAAAAAAGAAAACCAGTGCCATAATGGAGGACAGAGAGCAAAGTATTTACTTAGACCTAGAACAAGTTACTTCATGTCTATGCTTTAGTTGCCTAATCTGTATATGGAAATAATATTGATCCTACCTTATTGTGTTATTTTGAGGGTTAAATGAGTTAATATATGTATGCCATTTCAAATGTCCCAAGTGGTAAATGTTATTTTATCACTTACTGAATGTTATTTTTACTATTTATATTGTTGGTATTATTAGGAAATTTTTTAGCATATTAGTTGACTTTTTTATTTTAATGATTTTTTTCTTACAGCTTTAGAAGGCGCCACAGTTCTTCCTAGACTATACCACAACATGACTTTAGTATATTTAGTAATAAATTCAATTTTGTCTTGCTTCATCATTTTACTAAAATTAAAATATGTTTTCTAAAATTGAACAGAATTGTGTTTGAAGAATCTGAATGATTTATCATCCTTGGACTTGATAAACATGGATGGAGAGGTTAATTTCAAACCAACAGGTAATTTTTCTGTAGTTGTTAATAAATGTAATAATTGCTCACTTAAGACTAAATAAAAGAATTGTTCTACTAAAGTTTAGACGATGAGCCAGGTGTGGTAGCACATGCTGTAATCCCAACTATTCAAGAGGCTAAGGCAGGAGGATTGTGAGTTTGAGGCCAGCCTGGGCAACATAGTGAGATCCTGTTTCAAAAAAACAAAATAATACAAGATCAAATTTAGATAAAGTAAAAACTAAATTGTGATTTCCAGTCTTAACAGAATATCATTATTATTAGCCATAAGGCATAATAAATTTGTACCAGACTCATTTGTAAAAATTTTATTTTAATGTAATACAGGTAATAAAGAAAATATAAAAATACTTCTATGAAAATTTTTTAAACTTTTTAATAATTAGAGTAACAATGGTAAATATACTGTGTATCATGATCTTAAAAGAATATATTTTCAATTGCTAATTTGTCAACTCACCTAAGAAAATTATACTCTTTTTTGCATAAAACATTCTAATTATCAACAAAGTATCTGACACTTGGCATTACTCTGAACAATTTCTTCCTATTTCACAATATCTGTTTTACATTTTGGTCCTTATTTACACTTTCAGTTTCTCACACCAGAGAGACAATGTGATATTTACATATGTGTATTCGATTTATTTCACTTAAGAGTATGTTCTCAAGGTGCATCCAATTGCCTAGTTTAATCTTCTTTATGACTGAATAGCACTCCATTATATTAAAAAAATACATCTTTTTATCTGTTCCAGAGTTGATAAGGATTTGGGTTGTTTCCAAGATTTAGCTATTACAAATTGTGCTTCTGTAAACATGGGTGCACATATATTGCTGTGCTATGGATGCTTTTAGTTCTTTTGGGAAGATAGCCAGAAGGGGAATAGCTGGGTCAAATGGGACCTCTAGTCCTAATTTTTTGAGGAATCTCTACATTGATTTCTACCAGTCTGCACTCCCACCAACAGAAGTGTTCCTTTTTCTCTGCAGTCCGGCCAGCATTTGTTATTGGTTGATTTCTTGATAATAGCCATTCTTTCCGGAGGGAGATGGAATCTCAGCATTGTTTTAATTTGCATCTCTTGAATGACCAGGGAGGTTGAACATTTTTTCATATATTTATTTGCTCTTTGTAATTCCTCATCTGAGAAATGTGTATTCATCTCAGATGCTTATTTTTAGATTGAGTCTTTAAATTTGGGTGGGTCGGATTCTTTTCAATTCTTTATATATTCTAGATATTAGTCCTTTTTCTGAGGAACAACTGGCTAAAATTTTTTCCCACACTATGGGTTGTCTTTTCATTCTGTTGGTGATTTCTTTTGCAGTGCAAAGCTTTTTGATAGGATGAGATCCCAGTTCTTGATTCTTTGTATTATTTCTCATACAATTGGGTTTTGTTCATGAAGTCTTTGCCTACACCTATGTCCTCAAGAGTTCTCCCTATTCTCTTTTCCAGCAGATTTAGTGTTTCTGTTTTAATATTTAGATCTTTGATCCATTTTGATTTTAGTTTAGTGCATAGTCTTCAGCACGTAGAAAGCCAGTTTTTCCAGAACCACCTATTAACGAGGCTATCTTTTGTCCAGTGAATGTATTTGGCCCCTTTGGCAAACATGAAGTAGGGCCGGGGATTTAGCTCAGTCGTTCTGCCACCTGCCTTGCAAACTCAAGGATCTGAGTTCGATCCCAGGTACCAAAAAAAAAAAAAAAAAAAAGATAAAGTAGCTGAGTGTGTTTGGGGTTGTTTCTGCATCTTCTATTCTATTCCATTGAACCTCAGGTCTGTTTTTTTTGTTTTTTTTGGTTTGGGTTTTTTTGCCAGTACCATGCTGTTTTATCACAGTAGCTCTGTAATATAATTTCAAGTCAGGGATTGTGATGTCTCCTGCCTTCCCTTTGTTCCCCAGAATTGTTTTTACTGTTCTAGGTCTCTTCTAGTTCCAAATGAATTTTAGCAATGTTTTGTCTAGTTCTGTAAAGTATGCTAATGGTATTTTGATTGGGATTGCATTAAATCTGTATAGCAATTTTGGGAGTATGGCCATTTTCATTATGTTGGTTCTTTCTACTCAAGGGCAAAGAATATCTTTCCATTTTCTGATATCCTCTGTGATCCCCTTTTTCAGCATACTATAATTTTCTCTGTAAAGATCCCTTACTTCCTTTGTTAGATTGATTCCTAAGTATTTCTTTTTGATGCTATTGTGAAAGATGTTGTTTCACTAATTTCTTTCTCAGTGTGTTTGTTGTCTGTGTACAGAGATGCTATTGATTTTTAAGTGTTGACTTTGTATCCAGCTATGCTACTGAATTTGGTTATTAAATCTAGGAATCTTTTGTTAGAATTTTTGGGGTCTTCTATGTAGAGAATCATGTCATTTGCAAATAATGATAATTTAACTTATTCCTTTCCAATCTTTATTCTTTTTATTTCTTTTTCTTGTCTAATTTCTCTGGCTAGTTTTCTAGAACTATATTGAATAGGACTGATGATAGTGGACAACCTTGTCTTGCTCCTGATTTTACAGTGAAAGCTTTTGGTTTTTGACTATTTAGTGTTATGTTAGCTGTTGGTTTGTCATAGATGGCTTTTATGATTAAGATAAAGACCATCTATTCCAGTCTTCTGTAGGATTTTTATCATGAATGGGTGTTGGACTTTGTTAAATGCATTTTCTGCATCTATTGGGGTGATCATGTAATTTTTGCCTTTGAGTCCATTGATATGGTGTATTACATTTATTGATTTGTCTATGTTGAACCATCCCTGCATTCCTGGTATGAACTTACTTGGTCATTGTGTATAATCTTCTTGATGATTTGCTGCATTCTGTTTGCCAGTATCTTATTGAAGATTTTTATGTCTGTGTTCATTAAGGAGATTGGCCTGTAGTTTTATTTTTCAGTTGGGTCCTTATCTGCTTTTGGTATCAGTGTAATACTTGTTTCCAGGAATGATTTTGTGAGTATTACTTCCCTACCTGTTTCATTCAAGAGTTTGAAGAGAACTGGCATTAGATCTTTTCTAAATTTCTTATAGAATTCAGCAGTAAAACCATCAGGACCTGGGCCTTTCTTCATTGGTAAGTTTTTAATTACATTTTCAATTTCAATAGTGGGTTATTTAAAATTTTAATATCCTCTTGAATCAGTTTTGGTAATTTGTATATATCTAGGAGTCTGTCCATTTGTGCACAAGTATGGTTTAGTTCTGCTATTTCTTTGTTGATTTTTTTGTCTGGTTGATCTATTTGTGACAGTTGGGTATTAAGGTCTTCCATTACAATTGTGTTAGTGCTCATTAGATTTTTCATGTCTGTTAATATTTGCTTTATGTACTTGACTACAGTGATATTTGGTGCATATATATTTATAATTGTTATCTCTTCTTCTTGAAGTTTTCTCATAACAAGTATGTAGTGACCTTCTTTGTCTCTTTTTATCAGTCTTGGCTTGAAGGTCACATTGTCTGCAAATAGAATAGCTACCTCAGATTTTTCTGAGTTCCTGTTGCATGGAATATTGTTTTCCATCCTTTGACTTTCAGTCTATAAATTTCTTTTTGAGTTAAATGTGCTTCTTGTATGCAGCATATTGTTGTATCTTGTTTCTTGATCTATTCTGTCTGTGTTGTTTCTTTTGATTGGTGAATTGAAACCATTTACATTGATGGTTATAACTGATATGTATTGGCTTATCTTTGTCATATTATTTTCCTGCTGTTGGTTTCCTGTCTTTTTCCTTCTGTTTAGTTGCTTGCCCTGCCTGGTAGTTTCTTTCTGTTGATGTTTTTGGAATTGGTTTTTGTTAACTCTTTCTAAAATGCCCTTCAAAACACTTTGTAGAGCTAGTTTTTTGGTTGTGCATTTCTTCAATTGTTCCTTGTCATGGAAGTATCTTATTTCTCCCCTGATTCTGAAAGATAGTTTTGCAGAGTACATCATTCTGGGTTGGAGGTTGCTCCAAGCTCTCCTTGCCTTGAGGATTTGTGTTGAGATGGCTTCTGTGATTCTCATAGGTATTCCTTTATAGGTGATTTGTCTCTTTTCACTAACAGCTTTTAATATTCTGCTCTTGTGCTGAATTTCTGGAATCTTGATTATTATATGCCTTTGTGTAGATTTATTTTGGTCATGGCTATTTGAAGTTCTTGTTTGTGGGTTTTTGGTTTTTTTTTGGTACTGGGGATCGAACTCGGGACCTTGAGCTTGCGAGGCAGGTGCTGGAACCACTGTGCTAAATCCCTGGACCTATTTGGAGTTCTTTATGCCTCATTTATTTGTGTGTCTAATTATTTTTTCATGTTTGTGAAGTTTTCTGCCATTACTTTTGTGGACAGGTTTTTCATGGTGTCTGTGCAGTCTCCAACTTTCTCCTGGACTCCGAACAATACTATATTGTTCTTCTTTGCATCATCTTGTAATTGTTGGATTGATTTTTCATGCTATTTTTATTTTATCTTGCTATTTTAAAGAAATCTTTTTTTTCATGGTCAATAACCACAATCCTGTCTTTTAAATCTGATATTCTGTCCTCATCTTGGTTCAAGCAATTGAGTATACTTTCATTGGAGTTTTTAATTTCCTAGATATCTGTTTGAATCTGTTTCATGAATTCCATTTTTTTCTTATGTTGAGCATTCGTGGTTTCCATCATTTTCCTAAGCTCCTCTTTTTAAAATCTGTGTCTACTCTAGATTCATTGAGCATGTCTTTTATTTTGATTGTCATTTCATTTTTTACCTGAAACATTATTTTCTCTATACCCTCACCCATCTGTTTTTTTTTTTTAACTTTCCCTCTTAAATACCCCCAGGGCTATTTCTTCTATAACAATTGGTTTTTTTTTTTCTTCTTCTCTGTCAGTTCCCTCATGGTTCCTGTGTGCCCTCTAGTCACTTTGTTTCCTCTCTGGGTTGTTCATTTCCCTACTCTGGGCACTTTGTCCTGGAGAAGCTCTGCTGCTGGCATTCACTCCTCTGCCATGTTTTTCCTCTCATTTGTAAAATTACAGAGTTTTTTTTCTTTTTTTTTAACAGACCCAGAATTTGTCTTCACTGATCCTGGTGACTTTTAGCAGAGAGTTTGAAATGCTTGAATCTTTGGGCTGCTTTAGACCTTTTATAAATATTATAGATACTTTTTGCCAGTTCTTAAGTATTTGCCAGTTCTTAAATGTCCAAACATTTATTATCTGGATAGTTACTTAGATTCTTTTTTTTTTTTATATATACCAAGGATTGAACTCAGGACCTTGCACTTGTGAGGCAGGCAGCAGCACCACTGAGCTAAATCCCCAGCCAGTTACTTAGATTCTGTTTTTCTTTTCTTTCACTCATCATAGGTTCTTTGGCTAGGGCTTCAGTAACAAGATATTAACAATAGGAAAGCATATAAATTTATCTCAAGTAAGTTCTATATGACATGGGAGCCAGCATAAGGAACTGAAAGTTCAAAAAAGTGGCTAAACCTGAATATTTTTATGCTAATTTTTTTTTCTTGCGGTACTAGGGATGGAACTCAGGACCTTGTGCTTGTGAGGCAGGCATGGCACCACTGAGCTAAATCCCCAGCCCTATGCTAAATTTGACGAAGAGTGAAAAGTCATGGAGGAATATGATAGGACAAAAAGGCTATAAGCTAAGTGTAATAAAGGAAGAAACTTAGCGAGGTCTATTCATTCAGATTCTTCTTTACATGCTTTACTTTCAGAGATAAAGATGCTATTTTTCTACAGGTATAGGAAGGGCACTTCTCACCTGTGGGTTTTATGACTGCTTCATGAGAAGGTCAAAAAGTTCTTCTTACACATGCTGTTTCTAAAATTCCTTCAGCTTAAAATATTCAATATTCAAGATGTCATATTTAGGGGGAGATATCTTGAGCCCTGCCACTACCCCCATATTTAGTTGTGTTTGGTAAAACATGTTTCAGCCTGGCATGGTGGTACATGTCTGTAATCTTAGCACTTGGGAGGCTGAGGCAGGAGGATCACCCAGGAGTTCAAAGCCAGCCTGGGCTATGTAGTGAGTTGAAGATTAGCTTGAACTACATAGTGCGATCCTATGTCAAAAAACCAAAACCAGACCGAACCAAACCAAACCAGAACAAATAACAACAACAAAACAAAAGAAAAAATGTTTCATAGTTTTTAGCACTTGTGATTTGAATTTTGGGAAAAAATCAACTTCATTGTTGTAGTTAATCCTTATAAGAAAAGTACTTTACTATGTAAAAGTTGGGGAATAAAAAAAGGTTTGTTTTTTTTTTTCAAAATCCAGAGTCTATTAGTATTTGGCATGTATCTTCCATTTTAATGCATGTTTACATATTTGTAACCATACTATAGAAATACATAATTCTGTGTCATGTTTTATTTGTATTTAATATGTTTAAGGGGTTTTTTTGTTTTGTTTTGTTTTGTTTTTTGTTTTTATTGTGGTGCCAATGATTGAGCCCAGGGAGGTGCTATACTACATTCCTGGAAGTTTTTAAAAGTTTTTATTTTGAGAAAGGTCTCACTAAATTGCCCAGGCTAGCAGAAACTTGTAATCCTCCTGTCTTAGCTTTCAAGTAGCTGGGCTATAAGTGGGTGCCACCACACCTGGCTAAGGTTATGTTTTTAATAATTTACTATCCTGACTCATAGTCCTAGATTAATAACATTCTTCCCCTTCTTTGCTGGTCCTTATTTTAATAAGCCTAATTTTGTTTCTGAAAATTACCTTCTGTGTATTCTAAGGTGTGTCACTAGAGAGTGCATGAAAATTATTAATGTATCTTATTTACCTATTCTTAGATATTTTCGTTTTCATGAAGTCTTTTTCTCACACTCATTCCCACCCTCAGTCTCTGTAGTGCTTCTTGAATCCACTGATGTTCTTCTAACATATCTAATAAATGGTCTATATAACATTTCTTCTTCTTTTCTAGTCACCAGTGAATACTACCTGATTGATTTTCTCTTCCTAACACTACTATTTTGATTCTTTCTGGTTTTTAAGTCAATCTTTCTTTGTTAACTTTTGCACTCACTGTGGACTTCTTAGAGTTTCTAGCTTTGCATCTTTATTTCCAGTTTATATTCCTTTCTTTGAAAACATTATTTACCTTCACAGCTACAGTTATATTCATTATGCCAATGGATTCAAAATTGTTGTTGATTCTAATCTCTCACTTTTGCCACAAAATTTGATCCTTAATTTTCTATTGAAAATCTAACTTATGTGACATGAAACTGGACACATAAAAGCATATAAAAGTTAATTTGACCTATAATGTAAAGTGAAATGAGTATAAAATTTGGGTTTCTACCTGAATTTCAGGTCCAGTTCTACTACTTGCTAACTGTGACCTTACTCTTATTGAGCCTTAGTTTATTCATCTGAAAAAAGGAATATATTTCATGTCCCGTTTACCTTATTGTTGATCAAATGGGATAATGAATGGAAAAACATTTAGCATGAATTGTTATTTTATTTTGTCCAAGGCCAGCAACATATATTTTTGTTTGTCTGTTGTTCTCATTAACATTTTTACTAAGCCTAAGATTAAATTTTTGATACCTTTGGTTTCTCTTTTTTCCCACTGTTATTCCATGTCCAGTTAGTCATCAAATACCAAAAAGACAATTCAGTTTTAGAGCTGAAAATATTCCTTATTACAGACTAGGATAATATTTCTTAAAATGTGGTTGGGTTGACTGCTTGCAGTCAAAGTCAACTAAGGGTCCTGTTACATTAAAAATGCAGTTTACCACACAACAAACCTACAAACCTCAATTTTTAGGAGTGAAAGCTAGAAAATTTTATTTTATCTCTTTGGGCTTAAGCCTTTTTCCAGATAGATATTTTGTTAGTTCTTTGATGCTTTATAGAAGATTCTTGTATTTCATTTAGCTATTTTAGTTGCCTTTAGCAAAAAGTTTGTTTCATAATTACTTTGCCTGCCATTACATTGATATAGGAAGATCTTTATATACTATTTATACAAATTCTTTTTTATGACTTCTTGTTCCTTCATATTACTAATATTTTGTCTTTTTTTAGTTTTTTATATATTAATTCCTTGTGTGTGTGCATGTGCTACTGCAGATTGAACTCAGGTCCTTCACACTGAGCTACATTCCGGCATGCAAACACCCCTTTTTATGAAGACAGGATCTCACTATGTAGTCTGGCTGGCCTCAAATATATGATCCTCTAGCCTCAGCCTCCCAAGTGCTGAAATTACAGGCATACACCGCTACACTCAGCAAGAAACTCTTTCTTGACCCACTGCATCACCCTCATTTGGGTGAACAATTTCACTAGTCCCTTAATTCAGAAAGTGGCTTTTAGGCTCTTCTGACCCCTTCTACCTCTGATTGTTAGTTCTATCTATTGTACTATATCTTTTATGCCTGAAACCCTGTTGGAATGCCAAAAATATTCCCTTCTTTAGCAAAACCTGTAGCACATAAATATTAGGTCTTTCCTTGAGAACAATATACCACTTTCCTCTTCCCAGCTATATTTTGGGTATACTCACAATGCTTGAAATGCTTCAGAATACTTTTAGACAACTTATAATTGAATCCAGTAATCTCTTAAGTGAACTCCATTCCATCAGTTACCTACCTTGTCCACTTAGTTCCCACCCTCCAATTGACCTGCTGTCCTATTTTTAGAACAGTTTATCTTGTTTTGTGTTTTTATTTTTGTTGCTTTTATTTTATTTTTTTGTCTGTTTGTTACTTTGTTTTTTGCAGTACTTGGTACTGAAACCAGGACCTGTGCATGCTAGGCAAACATTCTGCCACTGAGCTACATCCCTAGCTAGTTTATCTTGAGACTCCAATTTAATTAAAATATTGCTTGAGAATTTTAACTGGTTCTATGTTATTTTTACAAATCAAATGCAAACCCTAAACTCCTTTAAAAATTTCAAGCTCTTTGATGGCCTATCGAGTCTATTATTTGCATTTCTTAATAATAGCCATAGGCAACATTTATTAAATGCTATGCCAAGTACTATTTTAAGTTGCATTTAATCTTGACAGTGTTTCTAAGATGTGCACTTTTATCATCCCCACAACACATTAGCAACTGTTAGATAACTTGCATCTAATCACCTACCCATCTCATCCATGGGGATCCCAAGTTTCTAACCGAGTCAGAGATCTGAACTCAAATCACCACCAATGCATATTACTCAGTATAGTACTATGAAGATAGTCTTTTTTTTTTTTTCCAAAGGTTATATTTGACTATTTCCTCTCTGCAAAGGCATATTATTTATTTTAAAAACCTTGTTCAAGACCATTTTTTCTTCAAGGCCATTCCACACTGACCATTGGATTAGGTTTAATTCTTCTCTACTTAAGATTGTATGTAAATATTATTATTCACTGGATTTTGTCCTCTAGCTATTTATATGTGGTCATCTCCCTAGCCAACCTGTAAGTTCCAGAGATTGTATATTGTCATTTTTAGGTGTGCCAGGTGTCATCATAGGTACAGAATAAAAATGTTAAGAAAATGTTTGTTAAATTGATGGAAAAGGAAGTTGTTTCAGCTAATTGGGGAAATGTTTATTTTTCCATGTTTTCTCATAGAGGCAGGAAGGTTAATGGCTTGGTATTATATTACATTTGAAACAGTGAAGAAATTTTCCACAATGAGCGGAGAAGAAACTTTATCAGATCTGGTGAGTTAACTTTCACTAGAAAATAAATAGCTAATGATATAATACAAAGTAATACTGGAGAAACAACTAATAGTACAAAATAATATTGGAGAAATAACTAATGTAGGTATCTCATATAATTTAAGACTGAATGAGCAGAAAGGAAGGCATTTCTAATAATGCTTATATCTCCCTCAGTATTTCTCTGATCATGATGATACAGAATATTCCTCCTTAGGATATATATTGTTTTAGTTATATTTCTTACCAGAACTAAGAAAATTTCTATATATTTATATATAACCAAAATAGGTATGGGACCTTATAATTTTCAAGGTACTGGTTACCTTGGTAGTGCCTTCTATATAAGAAATATCCCAATATAGTGTAGCATGACATTGTAGGAAAGTCTTCCATGAATGAAGGACAGTGAGTTACAACATGGTACCATGGTACCATGGTGGCATGTACTTGCAACCCCTCCTTAAATCTATTCCACCAGAATCAGAATAACAGTGGAAACAAAATAGTATTGGTGATAGTCTAGAAGAAAGAATTGATTGTGAATGAAATGAATATAATAACAGGCTAGGTTAATATTAATAGTGGGGACAGCTTTCAGGTGCAGCAGTGAGAAGACTGCATGTATATTGTTGGCGTCTAATAATTGCATTGGTCCTTTCTCCTTTTACTGGAGACATGAATATGAAATGAGCTATGTAAAAAAAAAACTCTCAAATTTAAATCATTCTTTTTTTTCTTTAAATATCAAAGTTGGTTATTGTAATATTTTACAAAAATGCACCATAGAATTGTAATTATTAAGAAGTCACATGAATGAGCAATTATCGATAAAAAGTAAAAGTTTTGCATTTTCATATAAATATTAATCTTAACTAATAAGAAATCAAGAGTAGAAAATACTCAATATTAACATTAACTTGTTTGATCTTGAGTTCAGCAAGTGTGTAAGAGAATTAAAACAAGTTACTTCCATTTTACATATGTGGGAAAACAAACACACAGAATGCTTTCCAGCAGGCTACAAAATGAACATTTCTTTTTTTTTTTTATCCTTTTATTGGTACATTTTAGGTATACAATATAATGACATTCATCATTGGAAATTTGCACCTTTACATACTTTCTTGGTTTTTATTTTTCCCCCTTTCCCTGCCCTCCCTTCAACCCCTCCATCCCTCCCTATTTACAAAGACTTTGTTTCCTTTTTTTATTTTCTCATATTAATTCCATTC